TGTGAAGAAGAATAAACGGGGAGTCTTTCTGAGCTTGACTCAGGCTTTGTTCTTCCTGAGTGACAACATAAAGACCAAAATACACCGGATACCAAGTGGAAGGACCCTCAATGATTTAAGAGACATGCTTCCCCTGTTTTCATAATGTGTCTCTTACCAATACGGCACTTTAGCAACATAGGCATGTATGACATAATAATCTTACTACCAGTCCCTCTGTAAAACATGTAAAGGGCCAAACCTACAGTGACACTGATTGGTAGCAAACTAGTAAGACTGCTTCACCCAATGACCCTGATAAGAATAATGCTGGTTTCAACATCATCTTTTGATGATCTTTTTTTTTCTTTTTTCTATATTTTTGAGACTGCTGTAGATGTTTCACTGAAATCCTGGATAAATTTCTATAAGAGGACAAAAGGGTTATTTTACCTCATATCTTAATGTATTTTATATTATCATATTGTGCCACTTTGATGGATATTGTATCATATTACATCATGTTTTATAAAATCCCATCTTATTCTGACATGTATCATTTTATGTATCATACATCATGTCATGTACAATTTGATGTTTTATCGTATGATATATTATTAAATAATATTGTCTCACACTGTAGTTTGTCCTATAGTATTTTATCATGCTTTATCCATTCCTATCCTAAAGACTCATATCTCATGTAGTTGTGATAGGGACAATAAACTTGGACATGCTGTACCGTCACTTCTAAAGTTTCTGAATACAGGGTTCTAGCACATATTGTATGTTATTGTATCATAACATACTGTATCATATTGTATTGTACCGTGTTGTACTTTGTTGTATCCTAACATATCATAATGTATCATATCATAATTTATCATGTCTTATGGTACTGTACCTCATCATATTGTATGATACTGTATGAATGAATATTGCATTGTATGGTATTGTATTGTATCAAAAAGTACACGATATGTGTTGTATCCATAGACTGTATATAGAATGGATGCTGTCTGCCTCCTTGCTGGGTGAAGCCATTCCGAGAACAGCACACCCTGGTAACGGGGTGCAGTATAGGTCATAAATCCTGCCTCCGCCAGCCATCCCTATGGTGCTGTGGACAAACTTAAGAAATGTATTACAAAGAATATAAATTTTTCTCCCCCCTGCTTGCGATGTTGACATGTAGTTACTGTAAGACTGGTTTGTGCTCAAGTCCTCTTTTTCTGTGCAGCTCTATTTTTAAAAGTTATAAGGGGATTCATGTTTTCTTTGATAGACACTTGACACAGCCAAAGCATACAAAGATTGCGTAGCTCACCCGGGGGACATGCTGTTTCAGCCGAGTGTCTTCCCAGTGACTCTCCTGCCGACTGCGCACAATGTTACTGCACAAGTGGTGGAGAGAGTTACTGAGAGCTTTTCGGCTTCAAATCTGTATAGTGGCGGAAGACGGAACCAAGTTGTCCATAGTATATACAATCTATGATTGTATCACACTGTAATATATAATAACATGATGTATAGTACCATATTATGTTGTATTGTATTGTATGTAACATATTGTCATACTGTACATTATCCTAATGTATTGTATGTATCATATATTATCATATCACATAGTGCCATATCACATTAGTATCGAATCATGTTGCATGGTATTGTATCATATAGCTATTGTTTTGCACAGTACTATACTGTATAGTATCACTGAACAGTATTACATCTTAATACATGTATTAAAGTGGGCCTATATTCTCTAGTATACATGACAAGCCTTTCTTTTCCTCTTCATGTTACAGTTACTCTGAGAGATTTATAATGGCAGCTGATTAAGTCCTGCATACTTTTTCACAGGTGTTACATGATATTCAGTTGTCCATGCTTGTATAGGGGAGTAACATCAAGTTGACACTGATGCTAACTTCAAGTGTCTTGTATTAGATAAACGAGAAACATCTGACTGAGTGAAAACCTAATGACTCTTTTGCATCACATGGCAAAGCTGCTGTTTTCAGTTCTATGCATAGCTTGATGGAAAATTGGGAAGGAGAATGATCACATCTTATTGTGTTGTTAATTTCTATCATGTCCTTTTGATTTTGAAGTTCTTGATTTTGTAACAAACATTTTGTAGTCCTTATCTTGAGCACCTGAGAATATTAAGATACAAGAGAACATTAAGAAGGATCACCACATTGAGTAAGTACATTTCAGATAAAAAGAAAATATCAGCTGTAACATCTCTTCAAAAACAAGACTCCACTGACAAAACATTAAATGCACTCAAAGAACATTTCCCCCTCGAGACCAAGTGAGAGCAGAGTTCCTGGTATTGAGCTGCTTCATTGGGTTATTTTTGAACAAACTCAATCAGAAAAAAATCAAAAACGGGAGAACACAGAGGTCGGACTACTCTGTCAATCCTAAACCAAGCCTTAAACATGAATCAAATTTTGATTAACAAAAAAAAAAAAAAAAAAAAACCTTCCTAAGGCTTTCATAAAACATGTCTGAATTCATCCTTGAAAATGTGGATTGTCCCCTTGCATATTTCCCAAGAGTTCCAAGTGATAAAACCCATCTGGTAAGGGTCTTATAAGGCATTAAAAAGCAGAATTATCAAGGATCCGCCCCTGCAATTTAACACATTCTTAGGATATGAAGATTTCAGGACAAGGTGGACTAATAAAGACAAGTTTAGAAGTTTGATTTTTACTTGTAAAAAAGTTATCAGGTGCTGGTTACTTCCTGGACCTTGCATTTGAACAGACATGTTAAACACACACGCACGCACGCGCACGCACGCACGCACGCACGCACGCACGCACACACACACACACACACACACACACACAAAGTATTAAAGAACCTTCCTTATCATTTTCCAGAGCAGTCTCTGGAAGCTGCTCGACAGTTTCCATTTTTGTCATATTAGCTCTATTTTTGTCAGTGACTTTGTGACTGACTCAAAGCAGGTATACTGAAACGTCACCAGAGTGAAACCAGTCATTAGTACCATCATTTAATGCATTTTTGAACAAACAATCACAAGGAATCCACCGTCACCCCTCTAACATGAAAAGAAAAATTAGATTACTATTCTCAATGCTGCCGGGCTCCTCTGTCATCAAACAAAAGACTATTAGGTTACATTTTCTCAGAGGAGTAAAGGGGACTTCCATGCTGATGTTATCTGTTTCTGTCTCATTCATCAGTCTTGGTACTTTGCAAAAACAAATATCGCTATGATCTTTCATGAGATTTAAAATCTACATTAAGTTACATGCAAGAAAATCTAAATGAAGCCATGCAACTTTAAAATAAAATGGAAAAAAAAATACAGCTTCAGTACATGCAGTTTGGAAATGCTTGTTTGGAAAAAGAGAGAACTGTGGGGTTATTGGAAATGACAAAACCAGCCTTGAATCATTATGTCCTCTCATGGTCACAATAACCACATCCTAATTTTATGATCCAATCTTTGTAAAACTCGAACAGATGCTCATTTGTTTTCGCAGCGACAAACAATGTCATACTGCGAAAACACATCAAACATGATCTGGTAGAACTCAGTGACCCTGTATTTAGAAAGAGCAGAGCAAGGTTTCTTATAAAAATGGATAAACAATTCTCGGGAAAGTCTGTTTCAACCAGCATTTCAGGGATAAGTTTGGAGTTCAGTTGAAATTCTCTAAATGTCTTCTCCTGGACTCAAGAAGTAACCCCAAAAATGCACAAATTAGAATGTGATAGACCTAAATATAAGTAAATATGTGAGTTGAATCCACATATTTACTTATATTTAGTAAATATGTGAACCAAAATATGAACCAAACGCTCCTGCTTTGGTTCCAATGGAGTTTGATTACTGATTACTTACAGTTATTGACCACCCTTGAAAACAAGATTATTCAGCTCAAAGGGTTATCCTCCCAAATAAAATTTCATGCAGTACTATCTCAAGACTGTAGTCAAAGGAAATTAGGTCATAATGGCCTATTATGAGATTCAAGTAATGATATGAAGATAGTCATTCAAAGATTAAAGTTGTAAGCATTTTACAAGCATAAAGTCATAGTTAGATGAAAAGTCACTTTGCCAAAGTGTTGTCATGAGAATAAAATCATAATCTTACCATTAAGCCCTCTTAAAGGTGTAGTTTTGGTTAATGGTAAAAGTCTTCAAAAGCTGTTTGGCTGTCAGAAGAGCAGGAGGTATGTAAAGCTGTTATATTATACACAAGTTCTTATTTCCCGGTGCAATACTGTAACACATTGTCATAACACTGAAAAGATTGTGCAAAAAACTGAAACTTTTCAACAAAAAAAAGTACAGCAAAAACTTGAAGGAAATTGTCTGTGTCTGAAAAATATGACCCAAATCATCAACCACGACTCTGTTATTGGTTCAAGCATCATTGACTGAAGTTCACTTAACATAGCAAGAAAATTCTTATTATATAAAGTCTTTTTCTCATAAAATGATGACCCAATTTTTATTTATCTTTTTTTAATAAAAGGACATTTACTCCGTTATATGATTCGGTATCTGCACAGTAATTCATGAGATGTGTCCGAAATGAATCACTCAATCCCTAACCCCTAATCCCCATATGGGATTTCACTATATAGTTGACTATGTAGTGAACTCAATCACCGGAGGTTTCGGACACTACATGGCATGACCATAGACTGTATATAGAATGGACAGTATCCGCCTCCTCGCTGGGTGAAGCCACTCTGATAGTACCCTCTGTTTACGGGCTGCAGTATAGGTCATAAATCCCGACTCCGCCAGCAAAGCTTATGGGGCTGTGGACAAACTTTAGAAATTTATTACACAAACAGTAAAATTTCCCCCCCCCCCCCCCGCTTGCGGTGTTGACATGTAGTTACAGTAACGTCTGGTTCACACTGGAAGCGCCGCGCGCGGAACGGAAGCGCCGCGCGCGCGCGCAGCGCCGGCTCGCGCTTGGCTGTTCACACAGGAAGCGCTTTCTGCTGCGCTCTGACATGCCGGTCAGACATCGACTGAGCCCGGTAGTGCTCGGCCGTTTCCGTTTGCCCTCAGTTTTCCAGACTTACGAGCGCTTTAAAAATGGGTAAATCACTATTTATTTACGTTTTTATTTCGTCATACATGAATTAAATATTGACAGCATCTTCAAGTATTGTTTTAAATTATTATATAGGGGTAAACGACGAATAAATTGGGGAGTCTGTTGACTCCGTTGTATGTATAGCCTTGTTAGCTCGAGGCTATTGACTGTATCGTAATAAAGTCCCCCCCCTCTTTGTCTCAATAACATCACTGAATCTCTGCAGCTCTCCCTCCGTGTGTGTGTGTGTGTGTGTGTGTGTGTGTGTGTGTGTGTGTGTGTGTGTGTGTTTGTGTGTGTGTGTTCATCGGTAAAAAAAATAGACCGACAAGCAACACCGTCAATCTTTTTCTAATTTATTGAAATTTACTTTATTTTGAAAATTGACCGGATTCTCTCGCATCTCCTTCCTGACTTCCTGTCTGGTCCGATCTGCTCTGTTGAGCTTTACATCGGCGCGCGCGGCTCGCGCCAAAAATAGAGAGAAGCGGAGCAGCCGCGCTCCAGAGCGCGAGCCGTTCCGCGCGCGGCGCTTCCGCGCGCGTGCTGTGTGAACAGTCTCATAGGTTAACATGGGCGCCGATCTGAAACTCTGTGCGCGGCGCTTCCGTTCCGCGCGCGGCGCTTCCAGTGTGAACCAGACGTAAGACTGGTTTGTGCTCAAGTCCTTTTTTTTCTGTGAGCTCCGTTTTTAAAAGTTATTAGGAGGTCATGTTTTCTTTGATTGACACCTGATACAGCCTATTGGAGTTCAGGGATTGCATAGCTCACCCAGCCCAGGGGATACGCTGTTTGAGCCGAGCGTCATCACAGTGACTCTCGGCGACTCTCGCCCCGAATGCGCACAACGCTACTGCGCAGCGCTGGTATCAGGAAATGAAGACAGATCCCGGAAATACCAAGAGCTTTTTGGTTTCAAATCCGTATACAGGTGGGAGGCAGAACCAAGTTGTCCACGTTATGTACAGTCTATGGGCATGACGCAATACATGACGGAGTGCCGACCACCAGTGAGTGACCATCGGATGGTCACTGCATTTCGCAATGCTCTACGGGAAATTTAAAGTCACCTATATTGGGCACTGGAATTGATCACTGAGGTTTCGGACACCCCTTAAATGGCGCTAACCCCCATATAGTCACCTATATGGGGGTTAGGGGTCCATTTCGGACACAGCCATGGTCTTTTTCGCTGTACTGTACCTTTAAGAGGACCCGGAATTGCTATTTAACCCGGAAGTACAAGCGCTTCAATGTGACTTATCCTGGCTAACCTTGCTGTGTTTTTATGCTGATCAGAGATTGTGTTTCATAAAATTCTTTAAAATGTTTCTTACCACTGTGAACTGTAAGTATTCAAATCATTGCCTTCATTTGTTTCAAGAGATTGTTGTGTAACGTTTGTGTGAGATCGATCTGCTGGTGTTCGTGTGTCGTTTAGCTCACATGTAGCTGCTGTATCTGCTTCACCCGAACGTTTTATTGTTTTCCTTCGAGTAATGTAAGTTTTGGATAAAAGTGATATTATTATACAAATTTTTGAGAAAAAAAGCAATCTAAAGTTGTTAGGATTATAACGTTACGCCTCTATTGTCCTGTTGTTATCGGTTTTAATGCTGTTATCTTTTATACTGTAATCATGTCAGCCTGTCTCTCCCCCCTGTCTCCATACTTATAATGTGGCTTGTTTACATCACTTCTGCTGATCATCTTGAACCTCAAACCTTCTCTTTTGTTTCATTTCTCAGTGGCCAAGGCTAAATCAAAGTAAGTGCATGTATCGCTTGTATTATTGATGTTTGGATATGTCTGAAATGTATTTTACAGACTCTCTGTGGTGCTCACCTGTCTCACTTATCTCCTTTAGGACCATCCTGGTGCAGATGGTGAGCGCTGCAGGGACAGGCTACTTCTTCAACACGAAGAGGAACCGCCTTAAAGACAAAATGGTGCTGCGAAAACATGATCCATTTGGTAAGAACCAGCTGGTCATGCAGTGAACTGGTTTGAAATACAATAACAAGTGAGACAAATGACTGATGTAGCTGAACGAGATATTTCTCACAGATCAGGTGTTAAGTTATACAAAGACAAATACCAGGTTAAGTTAATAACTAATAGTGCAAACACAACATAAAACAGGTGCACTGATGTTTATTACATGTATAAATTTAGTATCTACTCAGCATATGACACAAAAACAGGTTCAAACTGTGAAAAAGTTAAAATTAAGGGTTGAGGATGAGGTATAACTCAGTTCTTCTCAGTCCTGTATGTACTGAGACAAATTGAAGCATATCAGCAGGTTGTCTTTGTAAATAGCAAGCTAAAAACCCTGCAGAGCAAGAGATTGTTGTGTATTCACACTTATAAAAATATACTCATTAACTGTAGAAGTTTAAGGCTTTAACTGTGTAAAAGGTGAATGCAGGGTTAAACTGGCTGGTTAAACAGCCCTTGTAAGTAAATTATCTCAACAGAATGCCACTTACTTTATAAACATACTGTAAAGTGCATAAGCATGCTTACACACGCTGGTAAGACAAGTTGCTGCAACATTGTTGTCACTGGTTTGAGGCAAGGTGAAGAATTTCTGCTTGATTTTTCTTGATATAGGGATTTTTTTATACTCTTATGAAAGTTTTTTTTTTTTTGCATATAAGTAAGGCATTTAATTAACCATGAAGTACTTTGTGAAAGCTGGCAAGTGGAGAGTATTTAGAGAGGTGTGCTTTGAGATGTCAAAGGTGAAATTTAAAAGTGGACGGCAGCAAGGACAAAAGCCTTATGCAATTCCAAGGTCTGCAATCAACACAAGTTCCACAGGAGTAAGTTTTTAAACATTCTCGAGAGCTTCAGAGTCCGATTGGTCTTGAACTTTGGCGTATTTGTCATCTGTTTGTGCAGACTCAAGAAAAACACATGGAAGGAGGTAACACAACCCGTCCATTTATCTGTATCTATGAGCTCCGCTTTTTTAGGTCATTTCAAATCAGGAGTCAGAGGATATGGTAGCAGTATCAGTAATTTAAATTACTGTGTTATTGCGGTTTTGATCATTCATTGTATCACACTGCATCATTTCCCATGGGTTAGTAAATGAAGCAAAGAAAAAAAACAGCTTCATGATACTTATTTTTTCAGAATTCATTCATCAATCATGCATGTGGTAAGATGAGGTTGTAAAAATATTTAATCAGGCTCTGCAAATGTTCCTGTGTTTGCATTTGTTTCATTACCAAAAACAGAGATGGTATATAAAGAGTTCTCTGTCTCCTTTTGCTTTCTGTCTTTGCAGTGAACAAACACGTCTTGTTCTTTGAGAAGAAGAAGATCAGATCGATTTAAACCCACACTGAAGTGTACGGACAATATAAACCTGCTGGGTTTACACAGACTATTTTTATGGTCATGGATTAAAGAAGGTGTGTCATCAGTCAACATTTCTGTTTGAACTGACTGAAATGTCTTGAGGATATCTTCCTCGTCCAAAGGCCCCTGTTTTTTCCAGTACCATGGAAACCCAGACCTAGCTTCAACAAGGTCCACATCAGCATGGCTTTAAAAAGATAAGAAGAAGAAGAAGACACAGCTCCTGTGTGAAAAAGTCATGTTTATTTAGTTGTATCTCGTCTTATTTTGTTCCAGAGCTGTTGAAATGAACACAAAGTAAGAAAATCAGTCCTTTACAGAATCATTGATTATAGTGGAGTCAAGGATGTTACCACTCTATATTTAAACTGAGTTTGTATTGAGTGTGAACCAAATAAACAGAATCAATAATTAACTTTACAAGCTAAATATCAAGATGTTGTCAGTTTTTTGTCTTTGAATAACTGAATGTTATACAAGGATGAGTAACCTTCACATCGGTATTAAAGTTGTAAATTTACAAATAAATGTGTTAAGTTGAAAGGTGTAAGTTGTAAAACTACAAGAATAAAGTAAATTTATGAGAATGTCTTGTATTTAGGAGTGTACAGCCATAATTATTCAAGAATAAAGTGGTATTTTTTAGAGGGCATCATAACAGGTCAAAATTAATCATAGCCAAAACATCATATAAGGTGATATCAGAAGAGCAAGCAGCAGTAGCTGAAGTGAGCACACAGACTTGGACTCTGTGTCTAACAAAATCAATTCAGAATCATGAAACTTATGACAAGGTGGTACTGATCTGCTTAAAGATTGAGTCTTAAATGTGTATGAAGCTTTTCATTTCAGCTCAGGTGGTTGGTGCCCTGCCAGTTATATACTTTATGTTAATCCATAACCTACAAACATGCCCCCTCCCCCATTATTCAGGTTATGAGTTTTTATTGTAAATTTTCAACTTCAACCCACGACCTCATTTTTTTTGCTATATAGTGACCACTGATAATCCAACACATGCATTAGGCACCAGTGATGATAAAACATGGAGCAATTTCAAGTTCTTGTTCTGCCTAATATTAAAATAAATTATAATAATTAATATTTTTTTATATTTTCATGTAATTTTTCCCCAGAGCAGCCCATTTCACATGTTAATAAGATTGTATCTGGATTGTTATGACCATTAGATGAAATCCAGGTTTGAAAGGCATAAAATGAAGAGCACTCACTTCCAATAAACTTCTCTCAGGTGCAGAGACGCAATACAGTTTACAAAAAAGAAAAGCCAGCACATTCATCAAGTACCCTGAAATCCATATTGATGCCTTTTTACGACAAACAAAAGCAAATAAAACCATCAATGAAAAGATGCATGCCTTTTATATTGTAATTCACAACTGGAACACGTAAATGATGAGCAATTCAAAGACTCTTTGGTCCACAAAAGGAGGCACAGACACTGGAAGAAAACCAAAATGTCCTTACAGGAGCTTTAACTGTTCAAATCTGTTACTGATAGTAAACAGACGAGCTGAAATGTGTCCATTGCTAATCTATACGCCATTCAAGGACATTAAGAGTGCTGACTTTTCTTGTTCATTTGTAAATTCAGGTGTCAAAGTCTGTCCAAACACACCTTCAAATCCACAAGGAGCTAAAATCTCACACAAGTTATCACAACAGGATGTTCATGTAGTTTTTTTCTTAACTGCAAACTAAAAGAAGTAATTAAAAAGTCAATTAAGTTATTCAGGCAGGATTCAAGGTTATGCAGGGGTTTCTGCTCTGGAGGATGATATATTTTGTTGTAAAGCTTTTCAGGTTTGTTGATCAGAGGCGTAAATGGCCTTCACAGATTAAACTCATTGTCAGTGAAGACTGCATAGATCAGAGACATTTCAGCCTTACACAGGAATCTACTTTTGATTTTCCTGATCTCAGAACAGATCAGCTGGTAGGTCCTTTCTGTTTGGGTAAGAAGACTGAGTGCCGACCGCCTGCACGCTCACTCCTGCCACCTGATTGGCTCTTCGGGCCATCTCCTCCAGAGGCATTGAAGGATAATGAGCTGTGTACAACGCCAGCGCTCCAATAAAGCTGTCTCCAGCCCCCTGTGTGGAAACAATATCACAACAGTGCTTTATTAAATTTCACCAATCAGTTCCTCTGTGTCAGACTGCAGGAAAGTGCCTCACTCAGCAGGATCATTAAACCTGGTGATGCAGGGCTCAGTAAGAGGGATACGCAACCAAATCACTGACGCTGTGTATCAGCTTCACAATGATTCATACTTTATTTTGAAGAGGAGAAACTTAGTGCTAAAAATGGAGGGGGATTTTCCTCTGGAAGGAGCAACAGTAGGGGGTGCTGTGGTATTTGTCAGCTGTTTCCAAGTCTTTTACTGCTCCCCTAAGTCTCAGCTTCTTTGAAATGAGTGAATAATGCATAACTCTCTGTGTGTCACTCAGCTCTTAGAGAGTAACATCTGTATTATGGGCTTAAACCACAGAGATCAAGCCTGTGGAGTTATACATTTGATGAGGTAACTTTAAATGTTTAAACAGGAGAACATTTTTCCCTGAGCTAGTGAGACAAACATAATGTTAGAGCACAATGTAAAATGCGAAAGACTGACCATTTCATGATGATCCAGATCAAGACTAGATCCCCTGTAACTCCTGGTATATTGTGGCAATTGTAAGTCTATGTGCAGATATATTTATGTGTTTGATATTTCGAAACAAATGTTGAAAACTGAGATGTACAGCTGATGCTACAATGTGAATTAAACATGTTTTATTCTACAACTTTGGGTCCACAAAAGCTTGGATGCCGCTGTGTGAAACATTAAAAGCAGAATTTGAAGGTTTTCAAATTATTCAAAGCTTATTTTTTAATAAAAAACTGTGCAAATACATAAAATTAAATGTTAAAACTGAAAAATTTGATTCATTTAAGAAAAATAAGTTTTCAATAGCTTCCTTGAGGCCACCCTTTACACACTGTTTATACAGTATATATGTGTGTGTATATATATATATATATATATATATATATATATATATATATATATATATATACATACATATATATATATATATGTATATATATATACAGATAGATAGATAGATAGATAGATAGTGAAAGATATGTGTGAATAAACTAAACTAAACCGGCAAAAAAAGTGTTTCAAAACAGTTGTTACAGGAGCAACAAAACGCTAAAAAAGTTGTGTTATGCTAAAAGACAAACAAACAAACAAAAAAACTGGTATTTGCCGATCAAAAAAAAAAGCTGTAACTGACCGGCCTGACCAACAAAAAATTGACACTTTTTTCAGGAATCACAGATGTCACATCCTCTGCTCTGAAGAAGGAGGGGACCCTCTGGTCTGTTACCAGTGTGATCAGGGATCATGAGTGTCCATGGAACGGCTAGTACACACACCTGTGAAGACTCTGTTAATGCTGAGAGGTACATACAGGAACTTTGCCGCCATCCAGACAAAGACTTTGCAAGGAAGTCCTTGCTTAATACAGTAAGAGGATGACAAACTACATTCTGGAGTTGTTACGACAGCATAACTCCACAAAAGAAGAGTCCAGCCTGACACCGATGGAAAAAATTTGACACATTATGACCACAATCGAGACCCAGAACTGTTGAGCATCTGAAATCCTCTATCAGGCATGAATGGGACAACATTAACCTTCAAAACTTAATATCCTGGTCTCTCTCAGTTACTAAAAGTTGGACAGAGTTTTTGTAATAGTGTTGTAAATACTGCTTTGTTGTGTTTTTACTTAAATATACTTACAGGGTTAAACGATATGTTCATCAACATTTTACTAAACAAAATAATCCTTTTTTGGAACTTTTTTTTCTCCAGATAAAAACTGTAACAAACACTCAAACATTCACTCACATGCAAACCAAAAATCCCCACTTTATTCTCTAATGGCCCTTCAAAGTCAGCTGACGAGCACATGGTTACTTTGTTCTCAGCCGTTTCACCAGAACTGCCAGCAGCTCTGGTTTTGGCTATCTTTGCACAGATAAATCACACACTTCCCTCCTCATCTATTGATAGAGATGGAATGTGGCGTCTACGCCCTGGAGGGGGTTAGCTGGAGAAAGGGGGGGGGGGTTGCTGATGGGAAAAGGCACAATGGTATGTGGCGACACGCTCATGTTTAACCACAAATGGCCCCCCTGACGCTGGTTCTCACAAGCCCACTCCATTACTCATCACTGTGGCTCTTCGAAGAGTTCAATGCACTCTGAGCACCTCCGTAACCCACCCCTTTCCTCTCCAAAATCCCTCACCCCCCATCTTTAAAGTAACCCTTTTGTCTGAGGAAAGGTTTTCAGTTGTGATGGAGTGATTCAGTGGCATGGAGTGAGCAACAAAACCCCAAAAAGTGACCTCAACTGGGCATAGCAGGCCATTCCCCATGATGGACAGGTCAGGGTCCAGGTCTAAGGGCAGCTGGAGGACAGAGTCTCAACATCAGATTTTAACCAAAAGATTTCTGTGGCTGTAAAACAATGCAAAAAGAACACTCTACTGAAATATAACTTCGTAATAAGTCAAATGAAAAAGTGCTGAGTCATCTCTTAGAGGGCTGTTGATCAGTTTGGCAGCAGTCTGCATCCACCCTCTGTTTCATGACGTGAAGGACCACTTGACTACAACGAAACTTACAGTAACTCTGTACGGCTATTCTTATCACAATATCAATTTTTCAAACCAGTGTCTCGACAGCCTTAGACCAAGCGTCATAGATTTTGCCGGTATTTCTTAACAAACCAGATAACGGATGCAGAAAGATTAAAAAAAGTGCTATGATTCGACTTCTGTTCGTCCATTATTGCATCAGACATCCATTCAGTGCATGCCACTGCTATGACTCCCGGCCTGGACTGCAGAGATGCTGGAAAGAGTGAGATCAGAGCTGAAACATTTCACAGGCCTGATGGATTTCCATGTTTAAAGCCGCTGTGTGTTTATGTCTCCTGTCTGGTAGCTGGGCTGGGCTACATTTGGAAATAAAAGTCTCGGTGAAGCAGTCTCACTGGTTTGGCTCTGGCTGGTCTCCCAGTTCACAGGTTGTGGTTGAAATGATGATATGACTCGAATCGGAGTCTTGGGAACTGATGACCAAAGCAGCTCAGAGCAGTAAGGAGGCCACTTTAGACGACCTGATTTAGACATAAAACCAAGCTGTCTTTATAGTCATGGAGATCCATTGTTTTGTTGAGCACATGTCTCTATTTAATTACTGTTTGAATCACCTGTCGACTAATCTTTGGCCAAATCCCTGCTCAAACAAGCCTTTGTCTGGTCTGAGGACAATAGTGTGGAGCTGAAGCAGGTTTCTGAGAGCTTAGACTAGTATTAAGGTTGCTAATAGTCAAATCTCTGTAATCTCCTCAAGATAGAACAAAAATATTTACAGTTCAACAAGGACTTGTTTTCTCTGCTTTTAAAAGTAAGGACGACTTCTCAACCTGTAGAAATAAAGAGAATTCAGCAAAACTGTGTGTGACTTCAATACTTTTGTACTGGATCCCCAATATCAGTGACTTAACTTGGCATATGCTTATAAAGAGTCTGAGAAAAATCTAGAGAAGTTAAAAGTTAATGTTTACATAAATGCACTGCGGGTATGTGTTCTGCTTTGACTTAAGTGGGGATAATCACACCAGAGTGTAACAAAAGTGACTTCTATTCTTGAACGTTCCGATTATTGATGTGACCTGACAGTTTACTGGACTTCTGTCAGTTTTCCATGACAATGACTCTTCAGTAATATATGAATGCCCTTAAAAAGTTTTTAAAGTTACCCAAAATGAATAAGAAATTAAATAAATTCAGACAACTGGATCAAAGATTTGTCATATGTTCTGTTCAGATATATTACTGGTTTTATTTGAGTGTATTTTGTGTATTTTCCCTGTGTTTCTGTTCCCTATTGTTCCTGTTCCCCTGTAGTCCTGTCTTGTAAGTTTTTAGTTTGTGTCTGACCCTCTTTCCCTCCTGTTCTCTGTGTTTTATTCTTTAGATCAGTTTTCAGAGCTTCCTGTTTTATTTTGTAGTAGTTTATTCCTTGTGTTTCTAGTCTGATTTTACTTCCCTAGTTTTCCCTCCTTCGTTAATCACCCATGAGTTTCACCTGTTACTCGTTTGCCTCACCTGTTGCTCGTTTCCCAGTGTGTATATAGTCCCTGTCTCCCCCTCTGTCCTGGTTGGTTCATTGTCTGTTGATGTGTGTATTTGCTTGTGTCCCCAGGTGTCTTGAGTTGGCTTTTGCCTATTGGATTTTTTTGGTCAGACATTTTGAAGAAAGTTTTTGTTGTTTTTTTATTTAGTTCTTTTTAATCAAATCCTTTGTTCTGCGTTTGGGTCTTTTTCTTTGTTTAACCCTGCGTGGTGTGACAAGATTGAGAGGATTTAAAAATTCTTACACCATATTTCTGTATTTTTAAGTACTTATTTTGCCAAACTCTAATCTTGTCTTCATGCTCATACAATAACTTTCTATTCAGCTGATTTTCACTTGTTAGTCTCTACTGCCACTCTCAACATTCATGAATTAGTGGTTGTGCTCTGGCTTTTTACTTTTCCAGACGAGCGCCTTGTTTTTTACATTTCTTTTGAATTCTTAAACAGGAAAAAAGCTTTGCAAATCTGTTACCCAGGACTGGTGCTTAGAGGAGAAGCAAAATGATGGAAAAAAAGAAAATTCAAGGACTGAAAAGCTGTAAACATATTTTTGCAAGTTAAATCATTTGCAGTTTTATGAATTTTACATTTTTGTTTAGCTTTTTTGGCACTTGATCAAATCTGTAACCTTGTGCTTTTTTATAGTATAAAGTCTGTCTATAGGTTTTTTTTTCCTGTATACACTGCAAAGCCTCTAATTTTAATGTTTTTGTCGCACATCTGCTAGAAATAGGTTTTAGGGCTCAATTTAAGTTGTATTTACCCCCAAAAATCCAGAAAGATTTTATGCTTGATGAAACAACATGCCAAAAAAATCTGCATTGCTTGTATGATTAAAAAAACACATGCCAAAATTTGAGTTTGTGGATCCACAAAACTAGAACTGGAAGCTTAATTTCAATGTATTTTTTATCTTGAATGACACCTTTTTTATGTTTGATCTTTTTCAATCCAAAAATACTGACAACAGCAGTGCTGGTAAAATCAACATGCTGTCTCCAATTTCCATCATATATGTTAAACTGGTCCATATAAAAACAGACCCAACATTTCCTCATATTTCTGCACAAACTTTGCACCACTCGGCTGTGCGAGACACTGCCCAACCTCCCTCTGTCTTACTACCAACGTCTCACTCCCTGAGACTGGCATGTGACGCAACTCGATCTAGTCAATGAAGCTCAACGAGGCTGACAAGCGCTACCCCCTTCAGCCCCGCAACCGTTGCCCTCGACACAGTTTGGTGAAGGTTAGATGTGGAGGCCTGTCAATCAAGTGACACAAGCGCTCGCCGCCGATGAGCCTTGATGCTTTTACTGGTCGGCTCCGTTCGCCGCGACTTGACCTCTGCGCCGTTCCTCTGCCTGTTCTCTTCTCGTTCTCACGCTGGAGTTAGAAATTAGGATGACGGATGAGTCTGTGAGGAGCTTCCCAAATGAACAAAGTACAGTGTAGGAAGTTCTGCTGGTTGTATGTGGTTTATATTTTTGTTGTGCGCAGGTCCAACTCTAATTTCCTTTGAGTTGGGGTGTTGTGCAGACTTACTAAACCTACTTTATGACTGAAAACAACAAATAAAATTTGAAGATTTTGACTTTTTATGAAAAATATTCTTATATAATTTGGTGACAGCAACATGCTGTGAATCAGGAGGCACATTAACCATCATGCCGCATCCCATTTGGGAACCCAGGAGGCCAGTTTTGCGTTTTGCTTGTAAATCGTTGTCCCACTCCTGTCTGATACTGGATTTCACCTGCTCCACAGTTCAGGGTTTCCTTCGGAGTAATTTTTCTGACAAAATTTCACTACACTCGACCTTTAATTCATCCGTGCAGTGACAAACAGCAACTGTATGCTTTCCATCTGTAACTTTTACATCTGAGACGCCTTCACTGATGGAACTCATGGGAAGTAACCTTTTCTTATGTTTCTGACAGCAGCATGAGTGCTCCATGTTAGGAATAAAATAGAAGTAAAAAATTGAATAAGTTGGCACATGCAGCACTGAACGCCACAGATGTATAGACAGACAAAAGAATGCATACAGAAAATCAGAAGTCCATCAACAGAAAAATCCAAGGACAAAGACAACAGCAGCACCCACACACTATGATTGACAGTGATCTTTGTAAAGTGCAGAGCAGAAACGCCGCAGCAGTGAGCACCAAAGCTGGCCAAAAAAAACACAACACGAAACAAAATGTACAGAAAATGTAGAGCTACAGAGTCTGCTTCCCTCAGGACTTGTGACTGTATTTCTCCCTCAGAGGCCTACTGCGATCTTGCCTTCCATCCCGATATGACAGATGGGAGCGCTGTGCCGTTAACTCCTGAAGCCTACAGCCTTTGTCAATGAAAGGCACTCCGGGGAGAGCAAAGACCAACTGAGGGGCAGCGATGACTCACAGCGGCTCCAACGTCCGGAAGCTCCCAGAAAGACTCACAAACAGCTGGGGCGAACGGCTCGGCTGAAGCGACGAGGGAGGAGGATTCAGAAGATCAAAAGCAGGTTTAATTGGACCAATTAGAGCTCTCACATCTTTGATCCATCCGCAGAGCTTTTGTCTTAGCCCTCTTTCACCCTTTTGTATAAAACACTGACATGCCTGCGCTGGCAGAGGGCTGGCCGAACATCTGGGTTACTAAACAGCAGCTGCAGCGGCAATGTGCGCTCCATTAAAAAATGGTGATGTGGCACTTTTTCCTTATTGTGTCATGCTGGCTCACAGTTTGTAGAGTGCAGGAATGCAACTCTCTGGAGGTATCCCTTACCTTTGCTTCCTGGAAGGAATCATACGATTGGTACATCGGTCAAAGGAGAAGACTGGGAATAATTTGACCGTCCAGACCCACCATGCAGCTGTAATGTCTGGTTTCAGACAGTACCGTCTACACTCTCGCCCCTACATACTGGACCTCCCGGAGCAGTGGAAACCAAGGCCACCCAAGTCCTGCTGGGGCAACAAGGCAGTGAGCATGTGTAAGCGCCTTATCTAACCATCCACACCAAACAGCCAAGGCTCTGATCTCAGCGAGGGAAGCCTGTACTCAATTTAAGACAAATGGATAAAAAAGGGAGGGATGGGGGAGACCCACAGTAGATGAGTGGATGTGCTTTGTCATCCAGATTCACCATCCTGACTCAGCCCGATAATTGCTTGTGCCGTGAAGAAATGTGTTATTCAGACAGCTGCAGGAGGAGCGGATGATGAAATCGTTACGCTCATGAAAAGCTACATGGTTTAGCCGCCATTAACCGAGCCATTAACCAGTGAGAGATATTTCTCTTGAACAAAAAGAGTGAGGAAAAGCCTCCAAGTATGAACAGTTACAGGTTGTTTTGTGTGTTTTTGAATCAGCTGTGGGTCATGCCACCTGCGGCGCCCAGCTGAACAGTAGCCTAGATAAAATAGCGAGAAACCGCAAGTGACTCATTGTGTTGATATCGAAGAATCCCATCCTAGAATGCAGCCTCTGTTCACAGTCTATTACGAGTAAACTGGGGAGTCACAGAAATAGAGATCCTGGTGCTCATAAGCGTTTGAAAGAAAAAAAAAATCTGTCACTTCTCCTCGAGAAAGAAAAACACAATCTGTAATCTTCACTAACACGAGAGGTAATCCTAACTACAGCGGCCTGTGTTACCAGAACAGACGCAGAGAAGTGAATAATGATCTTGATAACAACCTGTTGTTTTTTTCCTCTCGCCAGTGAAAAAAAAAAAAAAAAAGGCCTTACTGGAAGAGGGATTATGATGTCCAAAAGAGTTAAACACTCCTGAATTTATGGGCCCATCAAAGGGCAGAAAGGGGGGGTGCAGAAAGGGGAGGCCATGCAGAGCAGGCCCGACCACAGCTTTCTGCTGACTGATGCAGGCCCAAGAGGTGAGTCACAGCAGTGGAAAGGGGGGAGGACAGGGTGGCGGGTAAGTTTTCCTGGGGGCTATTGGGAAGCAGGGAGATTGAAGACGATGAATAAGGTTGAATAAGTTGTTTGTGTCTGCTGTTACAAAGTGAGGGCATGGGGGAGGTCACGCACTGTTAAAGAAAGGCAGGACCTTTGTTCCTTAAATGCCACAAGGGGCCGAGGTAGCAATATGCTACTGTTGAGCTGACCTGCAGTTATGGTGAGGCAGAAAAAAAAGTAATAGCCTATCAAAGAATCATAACATGGCATATGTATTCTCTTTATATGTCTGAGAAGTTGTAGAAGAGGTGGACGTAAGAAGGCAGCACTTTAAACCTGTCTTCTACTGATGGCCAGCAGGGGGCGACTCCACTGTTTCAACAGTAATTTTAATTCCAACCAGTCATCAAGTTTAAAGGTAAGAAACCATTGCATCTGTTGTCTGTGCCTCTTTACATCCTCGTAGAAGAGCAATAGCTTTATTGTGGTCCATGTTTCAACCCCACAATAATAGAGATATTAATAACTCATGTCGACTGACTGGCAAGGAGGATCATTTTATCAACGAAGTGCTCACATTTCTCATTTTCACCCTTGCTAGTCAGCCCAAAATTAGAAGTAACTTAATGAATTAATATTGTATTGCCTTGGATACTGAACGCCCTAAGACCTAGATCAAAACATGCTCAGATGACTCATGCAGCATGTCGCCATTTGACAGATGCAGTTTTATTCTGTACGAATTCCGTTAAAAGTAGCTAATAGCCACTTGGCTGAAGCAATATATAACCCGCACAGGCATGTGGAAATTAACCTGCAAGTAGGACTGTAGGCCGGTGGTGCTAGCTCTGCTAATGTTAGCCATCCATGATGAAGCATATTCTGTGATTACGTGATTGACCTATTACATAAACTGTTCCTAATTTTGACAGTTTGAAGAGTGTCTTTTCATGTGGCTAAATAAATTTCCAACCGATGACAGAGTATTAGGCCCACATTAAGAAAAACAAATTAAATGAGACTTTGAGATTAAAGTAATTACTCATGAGAATAAAGTTGTGATAAAAAAAATTACTCACTGGAACAAAGTCGTAATAAAGTAATTACAAAAATAAAGTCATGATAAAGTAATTACTCAGGAGAACAAATTTGTAATAAAGTAGCTACTCACAAGAATAAAGTCGTAATAAAATCATTACTTAAGAGAATGAAGTCCTAAAGTAAATAAAGTCATAAAGCTGCTTTTGTGAAGGGCGAAATGGCTGGAACTGGTCAACTGCTATGTTACCAGTGGATGCATCAGCGGGTCATTCAGAGGGCTTTTGTGGTTTCATAAGAAACAATCTAAATGATAAGCAACACTTGTGATCAGAGGGAGTTGAGCTCCGACGAGCACCACGTCTGCCTCTGATGCTGGCAGCAACCCACACCTGCACCTTTTTGAAGTCCTGATACTTATGACAATGTGACGCTGAAACGCCAAATGATTTTGTATCTCCTTGTTTATAGACCTATAGCTTCTTAAGTATAATTTATCTAAATGCTCCACAGCGCTCATTTAAACAACTCTCCTCTAAAACAACAGGTTAGAATAGCTATCAGCTACGACTTTATTCTCTTAAGTATTGACTTTGTTATGACTTTCTTCTCATGAATAATTAGCTTATCACAACTTTATTCTCGTGAGTAATGACTTAAGACTAGTCTTGTGAGTAATTATTTTATCACAACTTTATTCTCGTGAGTAATTACTTCAATCTCAACGTCTTCATATGTATATATATATATATATATATATATATATATATATATGTATTTTTTTTCATAATGTGGCTCTAATACTCTGTCATACCAACCAAACAATTAGGAAAATAGTTACTTTGGAAAAATCTCTGCTGAATACAATTGATCATTTTGCCAATGACACATGTCAGTTGATGTTGCCATTTTGTCTTCCAGAGCTAATTTTTTTATTTGGATGGGCACTGTAACGTCTCTTTTCTGTTGTTTAAAGAAGTTACTTACGCTGTTACGCAGGTAGATAAAAAGTGATATTTGGCTCTCTTTTTTAAGGAGAAATATAATTAAGAAAATACTGTTTTGGCTAAATTGAAAATAGTGTCATAGGCTTTTTCTGTTTACGCCCGGCTCAGGAGGAAGTCTCACAAACCATCAAAGGACTGCTGTCTCTTTCCTCAGTTTCACAATGTCTTGTGTGGTTGTTATTTAAAACTATGATTCTGTGTTTGTAATAATTTCTCTCCAGTTTTTACTAGACTGCATGATAAACAGCTCCTGCAATTACAGCACAATAAAAAGTCCCCTCAGGGAACCCCTCAGTAAGAGAATCCATTACACAAACAAGTTAAAATACTTAAATCAAGAGATGATTAACACCTTTGTGCAATGACGTGTTTGCTCAGAAGAACACAGGCCCCACAAACACCTCAAACACCTCAGAGACAGGAAACGCAAGCAGCAAACCGAGGCTCCTGTGACGAAAACAAGCCACAGAGTCCGGTGTGAAATGAGTCAAGCGATGCTGGCCTCTTTCAAAGATTACAATCAGGGAAGGGAAACAGCCGGTGGTCACCACTTCCACAATCATCTTAAAGCGTTCCACTCGAGCAGCAGATTTGAAGCTCCACTAGAGTTCTTGGTAACAGGAACTCACTTAATGCTGTTACGTGGGCAGATAAAAGTGATGTTTGGCTATTTTAGCATGGAACAGTGATGTGAGATCTGTGAAAAGTTCTGCTTTTTCTGTTGTTACTGTAAGAATTTTATAAAGAAATTCCATTCAGTGTCGATCATATTTGGAGTGGGCTGGTTTGCATGAATTTCCTTTCTCAGTTTTTTCCTCTTTACTGACATATGTGCCCATGCCTGACCTGTAATCAGAACCTACCTAAATTAAATAAGAAATTTATAAAGAAAATGTGAAAATCGTCAAAGTTGATGTAGAAAAGTTAGTTTCATATTTATTGCTCATTATATCTATTCAAGCAACCATATACTCCTAATATATTTAAAGTATTGCACACACATTGATGTTACCTGAATTCACAGCTTCAAAATTGTGCAGTTTTCTTAGGTTTATATTTTTGTTAATCTCGCTTTTGGCTCCCTCATTGAAGTGAAACCAATTTAACGGCTGTAGTGTCAATCTTACAGCCGTTAGTGTGCTGATAAATGTTACTACCACATTATCACAGCTGAACATAAGAAAAACTCCCATTTCTACAAGATAATTTCAGGTTAGAATGAAGAGGAAAATCTTTAACTTCTTTATGAAAGAGCAGAAAGTCCCAAAGGCTCATAGGGAGCTGATATGTAGGTAGAGGAAGTACCTCAGGTGACTCGCTGAAGGTCAAAGGAACCTCATATTATTTTATTAATCAATTAATTTTTCATTTTATTGCTTTAAACGCCTATATGAATAAATACACATCGCTGTTATCGTTTTAAAAAAGTTTAACCACAAGAAAATTTCAACATTATGAAGAATGGCTCATAATAATATTTCCCCAAACCACTTAAATGCCCTAGCCTCATTAATTTATTGATCTGCATCACTGGCGATGTTTTTAAAATATGCATTTTATTTTTTAAATGACTTTTTCAGAGCTGTCAGGAGAGGAGAGATGGTGATGTTTATCACCATTCAGCTTTAATGGTAATATGTCAGAGTATTGAGGAAGATTTAGTCAGTTAGCCTTGGATGTAACACTGACACAAAAATTAATGTGACACATAAAAACAATAAGAGCCAATTTAAACTGTGTATGGAGATTCATTGTTTTTTTTTTTTTTATTACTGAATAAAGATTTGCTGCTTATGTATTATAAGAGGTATGTGTAAAAATACTTAAATTTACTCTCTTATTTTTCCCCCTACTCTTATGGTGCCTTCACTGTCGTGTTTTTATCTAAATCTGGTGGATTTAGGATTTGTGGGATGTGAAGGTACAGGGATTTATACGCACTAGCTTAAAAAACTTCAATTGAATTATAAATTGAATATTCTCAGTATAATTGAATCAAAATTAAAACAAGCATCTGTCATGTTTACCGTGGTGTCCACTGCTGTGACCCCAGTACTTGGAACATGTTTTGAGGTAGACTCCTTCCCCTCCAGCACCACGCAGCCTTGAGGTCCCAAAGTGATGATGACTGACCCACAACCTCGCTTTAGCAGCTCCTGAGCGGCCCGATCAGCGTCCTCCACAGTTATGACGGAGGAACCCGTCAGCAGCTCGGCCTGTCAGCAGAGGGGCAGAAACAACATACCAAGCTGTATAATCACATATAGTATGTGTCTCAGTCTTTATTCAAATATTTATCCTCGAGAAAGAAACATTTCTGCTTTGTAGACATTTTCTTTGTCTTGTTTTTGCTCAAGTCGTAAAAGCTGAGTAAATCAGAGGTTGGGAATTAAAATTAAAGATATGGTAAAAACCAATGCTGGTGTGGGATAAATAAACAAGTACATTTTGGAAATTCCCTCAGGAAAAAATAACGTTGAAGAGTCTTGTTTCTTCACTTTTTTAAAGAGTGCAGACTTCAGTTTGTTTTGTCTCTTCATTGAAGGCAGATAAGTAAAAGTAATCATTCAATCGGTCCCTCATTGGAACCCTTCACGGGTCTGTCCTTACTTTCTACAGTTGACTGTTTCTGATTAACAGTCCTGGGGTGATTCATTTCTTTGTTATACGTTGACAGTGGTCAGACAGACTCATAAAACACATTCAGTCTGTTAAAGATTTCCCTGGATCAGTCAGCAGTCTGCGGGCCAAACATTTTCAAAGAGCAGATCCTCTGACTACGCCAGCTCCAAAATGACTAAACAGTGACAAAGCAGGACTCCACAGCTGATGTTTGACCAACTTCAAGGAAGCTCCCAAAGGCCTCTCCTGAGTAAACGGCAGCCTTCATAAAAGGAGCCACAGCTTTATTGACGTGTGATTCAAAGAAATCCAACGGCAAGTTTATGAGCAAGTATTTAGGGGCCTTTCCAGCCAGTACTTCAAATTTTGTAGCCAAAACAGAGAATATATGTGCCAAAAGGCATTGTTTATTGACCAGGAAAATAAGTTTTTATGATAAAAACAAACAGGAATACTTTAGGGACAGTTTAAAGGAGTCATGTCAGAGTGAACTTTTACAATGTGTACATGCTACAGGAACCTGGGGGCTAAGAGCAAAAATAAACCGTCCCGTATGACTTTGGATGAGCTCCTGGGAGAGAACAAGGATGTACATGTATGTACAAAAACACAGGTGAAACACAAAGTGAGACAAGTTATATCTGATCCTTTTCAACCCTGTTTAAAAACTCATAAAAGTGACCGCGTGAAGACGCTGTTGAGCCGTTATGAAAACCAAGAACATCCATGCAGATTGATTAATAAACATGCTGAATATTCCTCTGTTAAAGATTAGTATCATTATTACTATTGTCATTCTTATTTACGGTTATTACTAAGGATTTTAAGGAGCTTTTTAGAGGAAATGTATGTGACAAAAACGTCAGTGTTACTGAAGTCTGCAAGAAAATTGAAATCTGTATATTTTACATCATTCTGAATCAAAACAAGACATATTTTTTATCTTGAATACAAGATAAGCTCGGCCTGCAGTCAGCTCCACCCTCAAACTAAAACAATGGATTTTACTCAATTTTTCACTCGCTTTCAATGTTTTGGTCTGACTTATTAAATTTAAAGTCTCAGACACTGTGGTGATTAGTCCTTAGCTGTCCTTGCACCCAGACTTTAAACTTCCTCCCTGAATTATTTTGTTTAACAGAAATAAACAAAACATGTTTAATAAATCAAAGCCTTGTCTCTGGGCTGGTTTTTATTCAATTGTTAGTGTATTTCTGAGGGGTGATCCTTCTCTGTGTGCTTTTTGCATTATTTGTACATAATCATACTTTGATATTTTGTCACTTAAATATTTTTTTGCATTCTCATTTTGCAGCTTTTATGCACTTGACTTTGTGTTTACCCCTTATCCTGTAATTCCATGTGTATTTTTATTGCACTAGCAGATTTTTTATCAAGCCTGATTTTGTTGTATGCAGAGCTTAGAATGATAATGAAGGCATGTCTCTTTGTTCTTCCTCACAGGCAGGGCTGCTTATGACTAAATGATTACAACCAAACATTTCTAAAGGTCAGAGGAAAAGGAAAATCACATTTTCTTTTGGATTGGTTTCAATTAAGTGATACAGCAGCAATTCTATATTTTAGAATGATCACATTAGTTACATATTCAGAGACTGAAGTCTGGAGAATAAATGATATAACCGTGTTTAAATGAGGAATGAAAATGTCAGATTTGAGTTGAAGAGAAATTCAACAATATAAATATACATTTTTATTCTTTTACAAATCTGCAGCATGAATTAAACCCCCTATCAATTCATCTATTTTATGTGCAGTGAGAGAGAAGATCAAATATTATTATTCTTTATTTAGACTCACAGATCATTGAGAGCAACGCCCTCATTTACAATAATATCTAGGATGTGAGAACTGAGTATCCTTCATGTGGAGAGATTTTGATCCCAGTTGTTTCTTTTTGCTCGGCTAATGTAAAAAAATAAATCAGTTTTATCTTTATTTTTAATTATCTCCTCATATGTGCACTGCAAACTCCCTCCTAGTGAGTTACCTCTCTCTCCTCATGATTGTTTTTTTTTTTTTTTTTTTTACAGATAATTGTTTTGTTCCAACATGGAAAAGACTTGCTTAATATTTTGGTTAAATTTCATCAAATGATTTTCAAGATAACTTGTTTTACTTTGACACAGTGATAATAGTTGAGCTTGTAGGTTTTATTTTGTACAATAAACCAGTGTAACAACACTGTGATTTTACTGACATAACAACTGCAGAAACATATTTTAAAATCCATAATAAAATCCATGTTTTTAGCATTAACTTAAAAAACTATAATGCTTATAAAGTCACCTCCTTCAAGTGGAACTCTGTTTGAAGTACTAATACTGCATTTTCCCAACATATTTTCAGCCACAATTTAAAAGGGTATCAAATACACAAAGGCTTTTTTAATTAATTTAACCACAGCTGCTCCTCTCACTTACGGTAATTTAACTCCTGCAGTCAGCCCCACCTTTACTCTTTCTTCTCATCCTGACTGCTCTGAATGCATGCCTGAACAAAGCCTGACTTAAAAGCATGATTATATTTATTTCTTTTTATCATTTATATAAACTTTAGAAAGTCAAAGTGATTTATTTAAGAGATTTTTTAACACCAATTAAAATGGCACACTCATGCATGCATCAAACATATAGAGCGTTTTAAAAGGTGTAAACAGATGGACTAGTCTTTGAGTTTAAACTTGACCTTATACATTCTCTCTCTCTGGCAGCACTGCTGTGGTCCCACTCCTTCCCGCGTGAGTAATTGCTTGTAAAAGTTTGCCTTTAAATTTGCCGTTCTCACAGAAAACAAACTGTGGCAAACAAAGGAGCATTTAAAAACCACAACAAATGTCTGTTTTTTTTCCTGCCATCTGCTTCTGTGAAAGTGTGTGTGAGAGATCACTTTTAGATCAGTGGATGACAGAAATGTGGATCAATGTTGGCCTGTGAGGTCCTCAGGTGGACATCAAAGATGACTTCCCCCTCTGTGAAGCACTTCAGCGGAGTATGTGGGCTGAGGATCAAAGAGGGTCTGCACTTTGTTATCCTTAAGCCCCCAACTCCCCCTTACTTCTTACCCCTCGGCCTTAGCATGGCACAGCAAGACCACACACACACATGTTCACACACACACACACACACCTGTAGGGAATGTGTGCCAGCTCTAACCCTACATGGGAGGGTCACGTCACGGCTCATGCTTGTGCTGAATAGGGGTCTGAGGATCTGATCCCCCCCTTCGCTTTTGTGATCTGTCAGAGAGAACAATGACCTTGGACAGTTCAAAAATAAACCGCAGAGTGTATCGCTGCTTTCAGAGCCCGCAGCCACCCCGGAGCTGTCGGATGCCAAGAGAGAAAAAGAGCCGTTTTGTTAGTCATCAGCTTCACACCAGAGCAGGGAATCAATCTACCTCCCCCTGTGGACCAGAATATATGAGAACATAGAATTATGTCTCTCTTGCTGTCTGTGTGTGTGTGTGTGTGTGTGTGTGTGTGTTTGTGTGTGTGTGTGTGTGTGTGTGTGTGTGTGTGTGTGTGCGTGTGTGTCTGTGTGTGTGTGTGTGTGTGTGCACTAAAACACACACTTTCACACACATACTCTATATAAATATACACAAACACACACACACATACGTACTGAGCATCTATCTTTTTAAAGCATATGTGCTATAGAGCTGTTGACATGTCAGGCCTCTTTCCAAGAATATACATGTATATGCATATGTTCAGGCAAATCGCCAAAGGGAGGAAATAATAAGCTGTAATTACAGTTATTTATGTTATATCTTTTGGCAGGAAATGTTTAACTCTTGCTTTTAACACGTCCGTAATTCATGATTTTTATCCATGTTTATGAGAAATAACTATTTTTACACTCTTAGTCCTTTTAAATGAGTGTATAAATATTAGGTCAGGGAGAGTTCCCTCTTTTTTTAGAATTACGTCTTGACAAAAATCTAAGAACATTTCTTACCTAGACTTATTTATAAATCACAGTTTTTCTTAGCTCTTTTTCTGCATCTAGTCAAAAACCAGTTGAGGACCAAAGTCTGAAGTGTGAGACATTTTTCCTGTGTTACACAAACAGTAGTAAAAGTGTTTTATAGCTGTTTAATGGAGGGGAAACTCTCCAGTCTGAGTCACATTACAAACAATGTGAAATTTATGAAACAATTCGAACGGTTCACAAACGTGTGCATGAAAAGCTTTTCAAGGAGAAACCACATCAGGCACCTTCACAGAACAAGAACTAAACATCCACTATGGTTTATAAGCACATTCAGCAAAGCATCGAGGACAAGCAGGGGTTGACTGAAATAGGCCTTAAAGAGGTGAAAGGATTTTTAGCAGTTCAGTTAGATGATAACCGATATCTGGGACCGATATGCGTGACATCAGAAATGAAAAACAAAGTCAAAAACAAACTTTGCTTTGACAGAAACAGATAATTGCCTGATAATGAATATTGTCCCAAAAAATCAGCCAAGGATAATAGTTGGGATGGATGATATGGGCTAAAAAAATTATCTCGACAAGTTTTGCCATTCTGGCGATAACGATAAAAGCCCCAGTAAAAAATATTATAATTCCAATCTATATTTTTGACTCATTTTGTCTTGAGAACACCAGTTGTAGTAGTCAAATAAGATACTTAACCACACGTTTGAGTGGTAGCCTATGGAAAAAACATATGACATCAAACAAGTCTCAAATGTGAAAACATTTTCAACATTTGTTGAAAACTCTTATTGCACAGAATGAACAGCAGCAGATCCACTGTCCGATGTCAGGCAGACCTGTTTGTGCTCATCTAAATCCCAATCTTGAAGGAAATCCCTAATGTAGAGCCCCGTTCAGTAACCAGCTGCTCAGAAACATCTTCTTCATTACCTTCAGCCATGTTTAGTATAGTAGATAACTTTTGGAGACATATTATGTGAGACAACAGACAATTGAATTTCCCTTCGGGGATTAATAAAGTTCTCCTTATTCTTATTCTTATGTTTGTTTGTTATTCTGCTCTGTGTGGGCTATGACTGTGAGTCCATCGCTCACGCTTACGTCATTTACTTGCATTTATCGTATTTATCATGAGATGGCAAATAATCTAACTGGTGACGGATAAAGGATTTTTTTTTTTATAAAACCCTCAATTTATTTGGAGAGCCCATAACTTTAGATTGGCGGTTTATGTCAGATTATTCAGCAGCAGAGAAAAGAAAATAAGAAGTGGGAAAAGAGAGACATCAGTCAAATTTTGTAACACAAACAAAGATGAGGACCTCTAGTTCTTCTTGACAGCTCATTGCACTGTGCATGTGAAATGATGGGGTAGGTGCAGAATGAAGGGTGGGTTTTGCAGCTGCAGCCTGCTCATATAAAAGAGTTGCAGGTCCTTTTCTTTTTTACACTAAATGCCTCAAAATAGTATGAAACTGGTGAAATATTCCTTTAAACAATTGCTAAACACTGCAGATTGTATCATTTTTTATAACCATAAAAATATGGATTTTGAATTAAGTGAAAATTTGACAGCAGCAGCAGAGATCATTCTGAGTTGTTTCCACTTCTGCAGGGTTTCAGAATATTCAACATGACTGTACCTCTGTGACCTAGCACTCTTTAAAAAAGCAGGAGACATGTCGTGCTTTCGTCAACTCTCCCTTTCATGTCCCCACACCTGGCTACAGCTCCTCTCTCCGCCCTGCATCACCACATCAAATAGAGGCTCCCGGGCAAACTCACATCCACTTTATCCCCGAGGAGGAGGCTGACTCAGCCAAAGTGCACATCTGCCTTGTTGTTTTTACTACGATTCCCATCTATCCCTGCCCTCCGTCGCTCATCTGTCATCACCTGACAGTCAAGACATGAAGGGCCATGACACTAGACTTTACCGTAAAAGGGTGGAGAGAGGTATTTGCTCCTCTCATCATACCTGAGGGTTTACATGTGCGGCTAAAGGTTGCAGCGGGGTTATTGATGTGCTGGCAGGGTCATGACCCAGGAGGTACGGTTGAATCACAGTGAAAAGGTTGGTGCATGTGTGGGCGCTCCAAACATCGCTCTGATTATTTCCTTTCAATGAGAAATGAGGGAAAATATTCCTGCTGACTGTTTCAGTACTTACAGAGGAAACCACAAGGTGCTTCAAAAGCAGCACAACACATCAACGGACTGCACCAGCCTGTGGCATTTCAGATTATTGAAACATCACTGCTGGAGGTTACTGTTAGTGATAATCAAAAACAGACTATTCAAAACAGTTTGAACAATATGAATGCAGATTTAGAAAGTGTGTTTGCATAAATGAAACAAAATGAAACGATCCAAAATGAAGCAGAGTTACTGACATGTAAGTCTAATGGTTCTTATATATTTTCATCCAGTGCTTGTTTTCAACCAAATTATTTCTTTTCGTCCCCCACAGATGTACTGTATTACAAATATATATATATATATACATATATATATATATTTATATATATATATATATATATATATATATATATATAGGGATATTCTAGGGATATTCTGGCATAAATTTAAATTATGGTCGAACACCCCATAACACCGAGTTAGACACCCCCTCAAGAGATGAATGTTGTCGACTGTTTGCTTCTCTAGTTATACCAACTTTAGTACAACCGCACGATAGCAACACACAGCAGTCTATGTTGTTGGTGTATGTTTCCACATCACCGACTGCAGCAGATCATTTCCATGTAGTAATAATCATCATAATAATCATTTTGCACTGCAGATGGAGTAGTTCTTCTGCCTTAGCGTCTCTGTCTGATTGCATTTCCATGAAGTAATAATCATAAATGTTCTTCCTTGAGCTGCAAAACTCTGCTGCACTCGGTGATCGACTCGTCAGGGCTCCCCCACAAACAAGCTGCTGCTGGAGGAGAGTGTGTGAGTTGTGTTTGCTCTCTTTGCTGATGAAATCAGGCAAAGCTAAAAAGATGTTTGATGGCTAGTCCTATGGCTGGGACCCTATACGTAATGTTGATGAAGTTAGGTGCTGTTCTGAGCATTATTTGTGGCTATAGAGTGGCTTTTTGGCTGAGGTTTGTGTGTGGATCCATAGACCTCTGTGTATTGCTGTCATGCGGTCATTACTAAAGTTGTTAATAGAGAAGCAAGCCGTTGACAACATTTATCTCTCAAAGGGGTGTCTAACTTGGTGTTATGGTGTGTTTAACCCAAACTTAATTTTATGTCGGAATTTCCCTTTAATGGATCACTAGTGGATGACATTTTTCGGGGAATTCTGTGAGAATCACGTGACCCATGGGAATCCCACAGGATGGGAGTCATTTTTTAATTAATCCCGTGATCGGGACGGGACGGGAAGAACAGCAACGGGAGCAGGCAGGAGCCGGAACAACATTAATAGATGATCATGTTCTGCCGTGTCAAACAACCAGATGAACAGATGCATCCATTTTTGTAGTCATCTCTCAGTGAGAGCCAACACTCTTGACCGCGCTAGCAACACAAAAGAACAACAACAGTGGTTTGACTTCCTGTCACCAACGGAAGTGAAAAGCGACTCGGAGCGGCTGCCGGCATATATATACATATATACAGTATATATATATATATGTATATATGCCGGCAGCCGCTCCGAGTCACTTTATATATGTATATAGTTTACAAATCATTCTCTGAAGCTACCCTTTGCTCACGCCATTAGACTGCAGTCAGGACTTCATTAGCTGCTCTGTGCTATATATATATATATACTGTATATATATATATATATATATATATACAGTAGCAGTTCCAGGCATGGGCGAACCGAACAGCTGCCCGGGGCGGCATTTGTGTCATGACTCATGGGGGGGCAGCACAAGCACTTCCAAAAAAAAAATTAAAAAAGATAATAATAATAACTCAGCACCGCAAAGCGGTTTTTGTATTAACTCTTGTCAAATTGGCACCCCCTGCTGGTGTAGGCGCCTTTGCTTACTGTGAAGGTGCCGCACAGAGGCTGACAGACTGTATAAGAAGAAATGGGAAGAGGGTTCCAGGGGACAGTTCTGCTCTCACTCTGCCTGTCGAGGTGGCTCAAGCAAAGAGGAGCTTCTCAAAACTGAAGTTGATAAAGTCGTACCTAAGGTCAACCATGTCTCAGGACCGGCTCACTGGCCTTGCCCTCATCAGCATTAATCACTTAGCCCATTTAAACCAGAACAGCATGTCCACGTATCAGCCTTCCAAGCCGAGAGGGCGGCTGCGCATTTCTACCCTTCAAGCCGGGAGCGCGGATACGTCATTTTGTGCCATTCTGTAGTTTTTTAATCATTTCTAGAGTCGTGACGAATCAAATCACCATACCAGTCTGCCTCTGATAAAGTAAAGTGCTTGGATTCATGCTCGGATCTTGCTACGTGCTTCAAGAGTTTAGTAAACAACGACAGAGGCAGAGAGCAGCTTTGGAGGAGAAACATCCAGCCGTGTGCACAACCTCTTCATATGGAGTGCTTTGGCTCACACTATCGGTGTTTTCTGTGAGTGTTGCATGACTTTGGGTAAGCACAGAGATGAACACACTGTCAGCCACGTATTTATTTATTCATTTTTCTAGTTTTAAGTGCTGGTCTTGTACTGGCACTTTACTAGGGCAGCTGTATACCCTTTCAACACTTTATTTTTTATATTTACATTTGTGTTGAATGGACACTTTATCATGACTGCCACTTGTTTTACAGAAAGCAAATAGTTTGTTATTCTCCAGAGCAGAGTCTTTACTTTTATTTATACAGCCGCTTTATTTCATTTAAGTTTGTTTGTTCAAGGTTTTCAATAATGTGACGAAGGTTCCGAAAAATAATAAATAGCTTTCTTGAAAGCCACACCTTTAAGCTCTCAGATACTTTTTGAATTCTGTTTCTGTTTGTGACAGAGGCTGAGATATCAGCTTTTTTTGTGAACCTCAACACTTCAGAAAACCTCAGGATCTGGGGGCCCTTCTCAAAATGGCCCTCAGGATTTCAGAGGCGCAGCTCAGGCAGGGTTCAGGTCTTAATGGGTTAATAGGGGAGCAGATTTCTTATGACGAGATTATTGATGATTTTTCATCAAGGAAGGCGAGAAAGGTCAGGTTTTAGTTTTAGTTTGAAGTCTAGAAGCGCCACTGTATATATCTTCACTTTGTTTACACCGACTGAATGTCAGGCATGTGAAACTTAAAGGCAATGCCTTTTATATGCACTGCACTTTTACCTAAAATAAAAAATGCAACGTTTTTTCAACATGTTTGGTTTTATTCAAACAGGAGCGGGACAAGAGTGGGAGTAATTTTCGGTGGGAGCGGGATGGAAGTGGGAGTGGGACAGGATGGGATTAATTTTTTTTACTACGGTTCGGGATTGGGACGGGACAGGATTTTTTCTCTGGGAGTGGGACGGGACATGAGTGAAAATCTTCTCCCGTGTCATGCTCTATGGATCATACACTATATTGTCCCTTTTAGCACACCATTTAAGCCACTGCAATTTCTTCCTGCTTTTTGCTGCTGCTGGTGCTACAGCAAGTCCCTGAGCTATTTTAAGTTTGATGACTTTGACACTGCCAACAAAATAAACCGGGGACATTTGTCATTTTTGGGGACGAAGTTGTGACATGTTGTTCAAGAGGAAAACTGCTGTTTCCGTGTCAAACTGACAGCATGCTTTTCAATCTTTCTCTATTGTGCTGAATATTATTATTATTATTTTTTTTTAACAAGATTGCAGCTAAGAATGACAAATAATTCCTTTTCTACCCCTGTAAGACACTGAGAGCCCATCATTTGGAGATCTACCAGTTTGAAATAATTAAAGTGCAAATGTGCATCATGGAGTTTAGGATTCATTTGCCACCATAGTGTTTGTTTTAGGTTCCTTTCTACTCCCTCATGATTACAAGTGTAGGCATGTGAGAGAAAAACAGTTATTGTGTGATAGAGCTCAAATGTTGCTGTGATAAATACTGTGAGAGAAGTGTTTGTGTGTGTGTGTGTGCGTGTGTGAATAATCACCTCAGTCTCATTACAGCAAAACACACCAGAGGCTCCGTAGAAACCTGAATCCAAGTCAGGGATGGCAGGCGCTGGGTTGAATATTGTCTTAACTGTGAGAAGAAATGACCAAATATCCAAAAATCAGAATCTCCAGGTCACTGTGGACAACATGCAGTCATATATAGAAGGGTTAAAATATGTGCAAATGTTCTCAATTGTACGCTCTGTTACAGTTGTCAGCTCGGCTTTTTGACAGTGTCCCTCAGAGAGACATTTTACAGTCGGGTGATGTTTCTTTTCCATTTGCTAAGCTTTGCTGTCAAGGTCTGGCATTACCTTAATTAAACTTTCAATGGGAACAAAGGCTGGTGGGCTACCACTGAGGATTGCTCTCACAGGCAAAGCTCAAGTGGATAAGCTTCTATAAAAAGACACCTTTTAAACGATTAAATTAGCATTCCCCAGGAAAGAACACAGGAGAGAAACGGCCTTACATCCTGTTTGTGTGATACGCTTTAACCCCTGCGGTTTCCAACATTGTGTATGTGTGTGTGTGTGTGTGTGTGGAAAAGATTCGATGTGAGGTATGTAACCCTATATATGTGTGTCAGTGTGTGGGTGAGATGAGTTGTGACCCTTACTGTGAATGTCGGGGAGCACATAGGAGGGAGTGAGAGCAGGAGTGTTTGTCAGAAGTAATCCTCTGTACGTGTTGCACATCACTGTCTCATGCATATTCATGAGCAGAGAGCATTAATGCATCTAATACCATGATTTCTGTGTATGTGTGAGGATAAGCCCAGCTTGACGAAGCGATTAATTCTGATATCTCTGTGTATAAAAGAAAGCCTTGTGCGTGTACGCGTGCACACGTGTGTGTTTCGGGGAATATATGTTCAGTGTTGGTGGCATCAAAGTCTGTTGAGGGAAAGTGTGTGCCTGGCTGTTGTGTGTGTGTGTGTGTGTATTTGCGTGGGCACATAAGAGAGCAGCTGCGTGGGTTTGTGCAGGGCTTTGGCCACCTGGCGCTTTGAGGTGGATGCTGGGCTGCTCGCGAGTAAAAGTGGAGATGCTTCCCTCCTCTCTCTTTTCCAACACGTACACTCACTCTGTATGTGTACCCACATGAGCTATAACCATTTCCCCAAATAAGTGACACCGGCTCTCTCTAAGTCTTCCTCTCTCTTTCAGTCTGTCAGCTAAATTGCACCTCAATTTCCTTCGCTTTGGTTCCAAGGATGAGTGCAACGTCTCGAGAAAAGTGATGCCTTACTTCGACAAAAAGGAGGGATCTCCATCTTCAGCAGAGCACTCTACATTCGTTACTCATCCACTCTATTCCTCTAAAAACACTGGATAGATAATATTTTTAAACTAATGCCCCACAGGCCACGAAGACTGATCAGCAGAGTGTTTTTGAAACCATATTGAAAGATTATGTGAAAAATGACGGACAGGAAAGGTCATTACGTTTCTGTTTTTATGCTTCTTGCCTTCATAGGTAGGTGAAAACCATGCAAAGACAGGAGGAGCAGGGAACAGGAGGGATGGCATGTGAAAAGAAGTGTCAATGAATTCAACATGGGAACATGGCTGTGACATGGAGCGAGCCTCTTTACATGGAGCTCATCTTTCGTAAGACTTTCCTTACTTTGACAGCTGCGTAGGTTAAAGGAATTTGAAGATGGACATGTACTTGTAAGAATCATAACTCTTAAACCCTAAATATGACAACTGATAATGAAAATTTATGATCATTTTGAACAGTATACACTAAAGAGCCTGTGAAATACAGTTTATTTGAGTCATTATGGTCCAAGTGTGAATTTGATGTGAAGATATTGTTTATCAACTTTATTCTATAAGTTCAAAGTGTCATCTATCTATCTATTTGCACAGTTAATGCAATTTCAATGTAAAAATGTGCAACTGTGCAATTTGTGGTTGATACAAATGTGTGTCTATAATGACTTTTCCTCTATTTGGAGTCCCTTCCGTTTGGCTGCTCTTACAGCTTGTGTTTGCATGTGCATGCTTCATCTTTTGTCTGGATAGCTCGGTCATCTCTTTGCACACACAATTGGGTGATTTTTTCTCCTCATGCATTCATTTTTATGACCCACTCTGATGAAAATCATGGTTTTCTTGATGTCTACATGTTCATATGGCATATTCTGATGCTACAGGGCATATCATGAGAAAAATAAGAGCAGAATTGCATTTCTGAGTATTTCTGCATTTAAATCGCTGTGAATCTCTTGCAGACCCAAACGGCAGGTTCAAATACAGTGAGATTTCCTACGTAGCAAATCTAAGCTCCGCCCCCTGAGCTCTGCTTTGCAGGCCACAGAAAAAGCGTGCGTGTTAGCAGATTGCAGTACTCGTAAGAAAACTAATTATGATATTAACTTTCATCATGTCCCTAAAGACATTAGTGTCCGAGAGCTGAATAGCTCCTATGGTACTCCTATCTTCAACTACACCGGCAATGTTAGACTACAAGCTAACTCGAGGAGAAGTGTGCAGAGCAGCTCTGTCTCCGCCCACGACTCAGACGTGAATTGCTAATTCAGCTACTGGAGCTCTGCAGAAGAAAGCTCTAGAAAGTGACACAGGTAACGCAACTTTGGCTAAAAACGTCATAATCACAATTTAAAGACCACTGAGAACACTTTAGGTAGTAAAAAAACAAACAAACAAACAAAACAAAAACGATTGGAGTGGGTTATAAGTTTGGATAACTGGAGGCTGACTTCAATTATGTTAGAGTTAGGATTTCTGGTGTGACAACTGCGTCATCACTGAGACTGTATGTATTATCAAAAAGATCCACCAACCATGATAAAAAAAAACACCTGATCTGCCCACCATAATAAAGAAAAAAAGTCTCTTCTACAGCCACTACACAAAGAGTCATCTTCTCTCTTGTCAAAACTTACTTGCATATTAAATATATGAGGCACAATGATAGGCCACATACTGACCAGGTGCTCATTATGTAAGTTTAATTGTGCTGCTAATGGGGTTAAGTGTTGAGCATATGTTATTTTATTTTAGTGGAATGAACAGACAGTAATTAGTCAGAGACTGCAGCACTTGCTACATGCTGTACAGTATAGAAAGAGGGTAAAGAGAGAAAGTATCAGTGATTCATGTAAAAGGCTTACTCATGCCTTACTTTGGTAAATAATCATATGATTATTATTTGTCGCCATGATCAGCACTAGTAGGAAGTACAATGTTGTCTTCCACTATCTGCTCTCTAATTTGCCATCTGTGGTGTTACCACAGTGTTTGCGTCAATCGTGTCACTGCAGAGCAAATGCATAGACCCAGTGCTCCTGAAGTATACATGCAATGAGGCTGCTGAGGATTGAAGTTTATCAATATGCGCACAAGAGCAGCTTGTGTAAAATCCCTATTAAACTGATGCATGTGGGGATTTGCCTCTCTGATGCAACACGCTGCTGCCGCGGACGTCACATTAACCGGCATGTCTGTCTTGGGTTGCTTTGTTTTCCTCTCCAGGTGTTACTGAAACCACGCAAACACAGACATGCACGCACGCACACAAACAAACACACACACACTCACAGCTGCTGGGACAGATGTGGTAATACCAGGATGTGTGCGCACTGAGTCATGTCTGGCAGCAGACTTTGTGTGCGTGTGTCATGACTCTGGGCTTTTTCATTTCTTGCACAGAGGTTCAAAGTCTGGTCACACATGTGCAGGAAGAGCAGCCAAGGGAGTCCAAAAAAAAATGGCCGTTTGTCAATGTGGTCAATTCAAGAGGAAAGGTGAAGGGAAAACGAGGGTGGAGAAAAGAGAGAAGAAAGACCGAGATCAGTCACACACACTCTTACATGCATGCACACACTCAAGACACACACACAAAAGAAATGAGTCATCAGTGAGTATGCGAAAGGGCTTTAAGAGGCTCTAATTGCATCTGATGAGAAATATAAAAACTGCCTCTTGCACAGATAAGGCAGAGGGGGAGGAAGACGGAGGGAAAAAAAGTGAAACTACAGAACTCCTGCCACTTCTTCAGCTCCAGAATTAATTTACTTCCATTAACTTGTCAAAATTAAATGGACGGTGGCCATGAACTACATCAATACATATGTGAAATAATTACATGCACAGAGAATAAGCTCCTTTTGATAGGTTATCTTGACAAGTGTTCCTGAGAGCTGGCATCTGACGTGTGTGGTTTGATGGTGACATTTACGTAGTTTAAGTGCCGCTTCACCTCTGCGTCATTAAATCCTCGCTGCCAAACACATTAACACCCATTCTCTCTGGAGAACTTCATTTACGCAACACTCTGCTGTGGCAGCGTCGAGGTGGCATCTTCGCCAAGCATCTTTGCTCGCCTTGCCTCTCTCCTGGCGCCACATGCTGAGCCTAATCCCGTGGTATGGTTGACACAACGGGGAGGGGGTCTCTGGGAAAAGGGTGGCGCTCAGCAAGGCCATCTGGGTATCCCATCTGCAGCGCGGTTATGGCTGCGACTCTTTCATTCCTGGCAGCCGGCGACAAGCGATTACAAACGACGGGCCCGGATGACAGGGGCGAGAGGCTCCCCAGACGTCTCTGCTGACGCCGAGGCGTGCTAATAATAGGATGCTGTTAGAGAAGATGAGCTAAGTAACCTGGTTGTCACTAAAAAGGTGGAGGGAGGAAGGGACAGAGGGAGAGTGGGAGTCTAAAATAGGTTATGTTTATACAGAATTAAACAGATCCTGTTTGCTTGTGATCAGCCTCCATGGTTGGTATGAAAAGTGAGCAGCAGGGAAAACACAAAAACTTGTGAAGATATTAGATTCGAGCGCCTATCATGCTAAAAATGATAGAGTGACGAGAGTTTGTGTGTGCAACACAAACTGAAAACTCAAAAGATTGATTTGTTTTTTGTCCCTCACTGTATTATCTGACTCAAACAAGCTTCTTTATACCCTCTGACATCCACGTCCACCTGACACAGATTTTAGAGAGACTCAGTCAAGAAGTTCAAAACCTGCTCACTCTGTCAACTTCACACAGCAAGACAATCTGTACAAGAGGTGTGTGTGGTCGCAGGAAGCACCATCATCTTCAGATTGACCTGCTCTGCTAATAATACACCACTTGTCACCACGCATGTTGTTTCACATTTCTAGCTGCATGTATAACACAGACTGACCTTTGTTCTCCTGAGCCATTCGTAATGCCTGTAAGGACGTCTGCGGGCTGATCTCCAGCTGGCACACCAGAACCTTTGCATGTCTGATGACTGGCAGAGCTTTGTGCAGCTCCCCACTTCCCAGCAGCATGTTAGCACCGGCCACGATCACAATGGCATTCTCACCTGCACAGGACAAAAAAACCCCAAAAAAACATGAAGGTGACCATTTATAGTCATGGAATCTCTCTGAAATCAAGGGAGAGTTGAGTTTATAACTTCACCACTGTAAACAGGCCAACAGGCGTGTGTAATTAGCAAACACTGTGAATAACACCTTTAATTAAGCTTCATCCTTAGGTGATTCAAACTCTTCAAAACAGAAGGATAAATCACACACAAAAGCTCTGCCTGCTGATATCAGTCTGTTTAGCAGCACTTGTCAGCTTTTTCACTCAAAAGCACAGTTGTATTAATATTGTGTATCATAGAAGCAGGAAGACACTGCAGCAGCCTGACTATGGTGTGCTAAAAGGGACAAAATAGCAAGCACTCAAATCTTCACAATCAATACTTTAATGCTAACCACCCTAAGAGGTATTTGTATAACTGTACGATTGAGTATATTATCTTGTTCTGAACAAAGAAAGACACTTAAATTATTAATTTTACCTCAAAAGTTTGGAAAATAATTTGTTTGACATGTAAAGTTTCCTGGCTGTTCAAAGGCACGTTGCAGAAAGAAAAGACACAGATTTACTGCAGTATATTTTGGATCTATTTTTACACAAAGTATACCTATCTCTATCTTGGCTTAAAATTTGAGCAATTTTTTTTCCATTTCTAAAGCCTGTTGACCATTTTATGGTGTATTGAAGAAGTCCATGTAAAAACAATTAGTACCTCTCTTTAAAGATGTTGATGAACTCAAGTTCTTGTGAAATCACATTACAAATGAGGTTAATTAGAGGGTTGAAACTGTTTTACAGGTGTCAGGTATGTGATAGCTGCAGATTGAAACCTGAGGACACCCGGCATGGTTAGGTACATTCAGGCACTTGTGTGTTTGAGCCATGGATTATAATCACTTGAGCGGTGATGAGACAATGGTGGCACTGATTGCATGAACTTACATTATGAGTGTATGTGGCTAATGAAAATGTGCATTAATAGCACCTCAACACCATTTGTTCTGTGTAAATGAAATCGTTGTGGGCTAGCAGTAGAAGCATTTACCTGCACTGTTCACAATGATGGAGGCAGTTCCTGTTGCTGCGTCTGAGGTCTGTCCTACAAACTCTGACAGAGAAAGATAAGTAAGGGTTGAATTAGATGTGGGGAGTATGGTTTATCTGCCTGACAGTGAGTTTGAAAATGACGACTAAAAGTCATCCAACAGCATCATATTCGTTCCAAGAAATGCATTTGGACACACCACAAACATCAGGAGTTTAATATTTGCACTGAGTAAAGTTTTCACAACCTTCATTTTTACTAATTCAGGTGGTTTAACTGTGATTGGCTTAAAAAAAAACCTAAGTGTAATTACCTCGAAGTCTGGAGTTAGTAAAGTCAACTGAGGAAATACAGTGTAAAAAAACAGCTCCTAGAGTAAAACAGTTTCCATGCATCACAGAAATGGAATCCAATTTGGCATGTAGTACAAAGAGCCCTCCACCCTACCTGTGTTTACACCATTGTCCTTGAAATTCTGGATGTAATTGTCTCCAAAGAAGTCTTTACCAACCTAGAAAAGATTTAAGGCAAAACAATAACAACAAAGAGGGTGTCAAGCGGGGTCAGACTTGGTTAGCGGCAACTTTTGAAAAGTGGTGTACTCAAACCTCAGTTGGGTTGGATTTTCGTGTGCCCTGCCAGCATACTGGCATGGTGCCGCCGCCGAAAATGTGAACAAACGAACACACAAAGTCAACAAACGCACACACACGCAAACACACGACCAGCTGCGCCAAGCCTTCAAGACACGATAACCCCGCCTTCCCGCCTCTTCAGGCCCACCTCGCTTTCGTTTTCCTTCCCTCCTTCCCCTCTTCCCCTGATCCGCACAGGGATGTCCACATCTGTAGCTACTTTGGGTTGTGGAAGGGGTCCCCACCTTGCCCCGAGGCGCCTACTTCGAACCCACGCTTTCCAAAAAACGTGCCAAATCGCGGGCACTTCTAGCTGCCTGTGATGGTGGGTTGGGCTGGTATTGGCTGCTTGGCCCCAATCTCTTTGAAGAGCTGCCTTCCGTCTTGGATGTTTTTGACAAGCCCGGGTTTCTATTTTTGGGTTCTCCCCATGCCCGGAGAGCTCCTCCCGCACTGGGTTGTTATCGATCGGGCCTCTTTGTTCTGAAAGAGGTGGGGCTTCGGTGCTTTTGTGCTCAGGTTGAAAGGCCACACTGTGCTTACTGATTGGAGACTCGGGGTTACACGGTAAGGGAATAGGCTTTTTTGAAGGCGCACAAGTGTGGGTGGGCGTATGCATGTGGTATGGTATTGATCAAGAGAAAATGAGGCATGCAGAGTTGATGTTGTAAAATGACTGAAGTGTGAACGATGCCACAAGGTTTTTGGGAGTTGTTAACTACTTGGTTCGGAAGAGGATTGCTGATTATTGTTACTGAGTAAGACGTGAAGAAACCAAAGGTTGGAAAAGCAATGGGATTTTTTTCTCAGACATTCTTGCATTCATGCTAACAAAGACGAAAAACACAAACAAAGGTGTGGCTGCAAATGTGATTCCATAGACCTACCTTGCAGACCATGGCCGTTTTGGCCCCAAGTCTTGCAGCCTGTATGCACTTGTTGGCCCCCTTCCCTCCAAAGCCAATGAAAAACTTGTGACCGTGGATGGTTTCGCCAGCTTTGGGTAGCCTCAGAGCCTGGCTGAGGAAAAACAGACAGTAAGCAAAATCTTTAAGAAAACACATCCATGAATGACCTTTAGGGGATTCGGGTGAATCATTAAGATCCCTGTCCTTAAAACAAAGCTTTTCTTAGAGTCCTAATTAGTTTTTCTGATATCCTCACAGACTCTCCACACAACAGACAAAAGTTTAGAAATGTTGCATCAAACTTTAAAAACAGTTTTATTTGGCTGTGTGAGTGTTCTTCTCTGAAAACCAAGGAGGGATGGGGGATGTCAAAATGTGAAGATAACCCTTCAGGGCCAGATCTTTCCCTGGTTAAGCTATTTATTTATCACTAGAAAATGTGCAAAAAGCAGAAAGAAGAGGTTTCTGCAGAGTCTATGGAGGATTTTATCTTTTGGTCTTGTAGAGGTATTTCACAGAAAGGTCAACAAAATAAAACCCTGCTGGAAAGAATTGATCATACGATTGTTTTTTTTGTTTTTTTCCAGCACGACGGCAGTATTTAGAATCCCTGACAGAAAACAGAGCTAAGAATTGCTTCATCACTTGAACAGCACTCTAAATATTTTACTGAGACATTCACTCAGCTATGCCCATGCAACTGGCACCACATTTTGCAAATGATGCAACCAGCAAAACCCACAGACGTCTCAACTTGACACCGGCTGCACAAGTAATGCCTGACTCATCAGGGCTGGGTGAAGTCCCGCCTCTCGCCTCAGGTTTGATTTGCCACAGGTGGGTGCCCTCAGGAGGAGCTGTCTGTTCCCTGGTTCCTCCTATCACAGAGCCAGAGTGGGTGGTGAGTAACACGGGGGAGAGACAACAGACAGCTTCATACTGTACGTCAGAATACTGTGGTCTGGCCTGGGGCCAGGACTGCCCTGGGCCAGAGGGTTTGCGGATGGCAAAATGTTGTCATAAACTTGTTTTCCACCCTGTTGTTGCTCGTTTTTAAACTTGTGTGCGTGTGTGAGTGTGTTTGTGGCAGGTGTGCTATTACAGTAAGTTCACTAAGTCCCAGGATTTCCAGTAAGTGAGATGCTGGTGGCAAACACTAGAGGAGGTTATAAATGCTGCTGTTTTCGCACCGGTGTGTGAAAACACTATAATGCCCCAAGCTATAACAGGATGCTGGGTCAGTGAGGCTGAAATGTGTTGAGAAGCAAACAGGACAAAGGACGAATGCACACACACACACACACACACACACACACACACACACACACACACACACACACACACACACATTACCTATTCTAGTTGGTGCAGCTGTCTGAGTGAATTTTTCCCAACTGTGTCACTGCTGTGTGACTCTGTGAAAAAAGGACTCCCAACAATACTGTTGTGGGAAAATCTGAAGCTACTGCCTCCAAGATCACAACATGTTTGTCAATGAAACGACAGGTTACTCTGTAAAATCAATGCTCAAACCAGTTGGCTAGCATAGAGCACAGAAAAATACTCAAAAGGCGGCAAATAGTTTATCAGACTACCTTTAATAGCTTGTAAGCTTAGCATACAAGTTTAACTCACACCGTTAATCCCGTTTAGGCCCACAGATGAGTGAAATCCCCATGCTCATGGGGAATAAGCAACTTTTCCCCCATAGATTTTTGCTCAAAATAAACTAATGACATAAATCAGGATTATGAGCTTGAATGGGGCTGATAGAAACACGTAAACAAACATTTGAACGAATCTTAGCTAGCTATATAAAATAGGTGTTTAAGTTAGATCTGCTTTGTATAATTATACAGATCACCCTGATACTGCTGTGAACGCTCTGTCTCTTCTTGAGGTGCCGGTTTAACTCAGTGGCAAAGAGGCCACAGTCCACAGAGTGGGCGGCCCAGACTCTAATCTGACCCTCAGCCCTTCACAACATCATCCCACACGCTCCTACCAGTTTCTTGTTCTATACACAACCATATCCTCTGACAAGTTTAAAGAATTAAAAGTAAAAAAAAAAAAAAAGAGAAGAAAATGGTCCTCTTAAAAATGGACTCATCTTTGGATGTCTGGCTAATTGAAAACGATTTTCTTGACAGTTTGTTTGAATCGAGTTCTTCAAAGGGTAATACGTTGCTGATAATTGCTACAGTCTGTCAGTCCAATTAGTCGTGCATTTAATTATGCAAACCTCTTCACTTCAATATCTTCAAAATTCATTCACCATAAAATAATTCACTAGATGTGTTCATTTTTTAAACGAATTTTATTTTATTTTTTTCTTTCAGAATGGGTGTGTTTGTGGATTCTGGGACTTTTGGAGTCGGCCTCAAGCGGAAACTCAAGGAATGGCATAATTTAGCACTTGTGCTCTGGCTTCATTTTTAAAGATTAGTGGTTGCGGTTTGGTGAGTACCCACAGTCTTACTTTGACCACCGTCCTGTCTTACAACATGTAAATTAAAAACCTCGAAAACAAGCAACAAAAACAAGAATGATCCTCGTAGTGATTTTTATGTCTAAAAATATATTTTTATGATTTATTTTGTCTAAAAACAATTCAGACTAAGAGTCATGCATGTTGGAATGTATATAAGTGCTTATGAGGTTTTCTCATCTGTGTCCTGTGTTTCATCCAACGGTACTTTAGCTGATTGGGAAACAGGCTGAAACTAATGCCTCTTAGTGACCTTCAAAAACAGATGAAACCATCAACAACAAGGCTGACTGTAATTTTTGATGCCTGAAACTGTTGTGAGGGGGTGGGTGCCAGACCACATGATTGACAGCGGGCTGAAGAAAAAGCCTTTTTGAACTTTTTCCACGGCAAACTCACAGCATTTCTTTTCAAGTATTTTGTTTGAAAAGACAATTTCACTCAGACTGGACGAAAGATGTGACACGTCATTTTGCTAACCAAAACTGGGGCATCAAAGCTGCCACGAACCAAAAGTTCCTCCCAGCAGTTTTAATAAAAGGGAGTATTTTCACATTTTGATTTTGGTCTGGGCTTTGCTTGTTTTGTTTTGCAACATTGTGTGGTACTACTGGGGATCCTAATAAAGACAGGAAAGTACTATGTTTAATTTCTTGTGACTTTAAAGCTCCCTGTAGACTGTTTTGTCAATGTGGTGCCCCCTGTGGGCAAAATAAATACTGTATTTATGCTGTGATGTATTTTTAACAAAAAGATCTGAACTGATCATTTTATAACAGTTTTGTGTGTCACTCAGTGAGAATCTTTGTTGTGTAAAATGTAAAGTTGTTTTAGCAGCTTGAAATTTAAGTGACACCTACCCGGTGGCAGTGGTATCTAACATAATAACTATGAAAACACACTCAGTCTTGTTGCTTTTTTTTTCTTTTAGCTTTAGTAGATCATAAAAAAGCAACCGTGTTAATTTCAGTCTGTTTCAGAACTATTTAAAAATTCCTTATAGGAGCTTTAGGTCCATTTCAGTGCATATATCTGTATCCCTCTCACACAGGTCACAAACAAAAGTTCTGTCTTTCTTTTGAAGCCAAAATTAATGGAAAGTGATGCTTTGTGTCATATTAGAGTTTCACATTAAGGCAAGTGAAGTTTTTCTTTTAGAATATCCTTATAACACTCTCATACATAATGAACATTGACTTCTGTAGATTATTAGATAACATATTAAACATAACATTTGGCCACCAGCTGCCTTAAGCCGGATAACTAACAGGTAAGATAAACATATTTCCAAATTCTTAAATAAACCCACCCACGCCTCCTCATATCCACTGAGACACTCAGCTATTGTTGTCTGTGGTGAGTGCACCAAACAAACAGGGCACTTATGTGCTAAAGTGCAACCTCAGTGCATTTTATCCCATGAAACCAAAAGGCTAAAGCAGGTGTTCAGTGACGTGAAGAGTTTGCTTTGAGGCTGGCTCTCATTTCCCTCTCCTCTGTTTCTATTAAAGTCATTCTTCAGCTGTTGGTGAGAAACTGAGAAGTACACTTTGACGAAGGCAGATTCAAACTGCTGTTGTCTGAAGTTTGAGCTACGCCTTTTATTCCAAGTTAGAGAACAAGAAATTGAGCTCATTTCTTGTCAAATGGGAGAATAAAAGAATTCAAAATGCTGCATGTGCTAATCTCAAATTCACGAGGTAAAGACAGACGTAATTAAAATGTGATGACCTTCATATCTGAAGCCTTTAAAGCTGTTACACCACCGAGACTCTTTGTTCTCATCTTTTGTGATCTCCTTCTCCATAAACGTCCCTTTAGCTCTCGCAGATCAGGACAAGGACAAACCAGAAAGTACAAGTTGTACTGAGAGAGCATACCTTGCATGGACATGGTGAGCTGCTCTGCTAACAAGAGGTTCAGTGTCAGAGGAGGACGTGGGTGTTTATTTTTGTGTGGTCAGACCATTTGTCGACACCACGTGCATGTTGCTATTATTCACTCGATGGTCATAAAAGTGGTCTATATCAGCGGCTATAATGAGCCTCTTATAGACCTGTTCAGAGTTTGAATTGCTTGGTGCTTATGGACACATCAGATTTGTTTGATGGTTTTTGCATTTTTATGAAAGGTGGTCAGACAAATCTCTGCCACACCAGCACATATGTTGAACAACACAGTATATTTACTTGACCTATATATTTAAAATAATTTCTAAACTTGTTATTTAATACACACTGAGTATCTTCATGAACAAAACAATATATTTGCTCTTCAAAGTAACTTCGTCCCTTCACATCTTTGAGTGGAAAGAGCCTCAGGGAGGGGTGGACGAAACGAAGCAGTGGTATCGCCGTGTTCTCATAGAGGTAGCATGACATATCATGACAGGCAAAGAGATGATTAACAGGATGAAAATCACAGATTTTCTTCTATTTTGTCTTTTCTATACATAGCCTTCACACTGGATTGTTTTATTTTGCCAGGCCTCTATTTCAGGCCGCCAATGATTCAATAATCTACGGAGAGAAATATGTTGTCATCCAATGTGGTCTTTTCTATGGTTGTAAATCTATGTTTGGCCTGAAGATCCCACATCCTCTGCTCTGAGTATGAGCAGATGATCCTGGGTCCCCCAAACTGAATCATTTAAAAACTCATTTCTTACTGTAGCTCAATTGAATATATTGTACCAAGGCATCTTCATGTTATTGTGATTAAAGCAGAATATATGCATTATACTGTATGTAATATACAATGCAATATATTGTTTGTGGTTTTATGTGCACTTTTTTTTTTTACATGATTTGTTTATCGATACTGATACCAATACAGACTTTTTGTAGTTCACAAGAGCAATCATCAAACGATATGCACTGACAGCAAAAACAAGCAAACTTTGGATTACTTTTTTTTAGATTGTTTAAAAACTCCAACATAAAACTTTATTTAAAGCTCCTGTGAGAAACTTTATGTTAATGTCAAATCCTGCAACCCCATTGACAAAACAGTCTTTGCTAATCCTGTCCTCCCCACAATCCTGCTGACTTTTGAAAGCCACATGTGTCATTCATGGTGAATGTGTTTTGTGATGATTGTTAAAGTAGGACTGTTTCTCCAGCTGCTTGGCTGACACTTACCCTCTCTCACAGGTTTCAAGCGTTTGAATGATGATGCAAAAATCATTAAGCTTGTCCCTGATGGTCTTGTTTGCTTTTCAATATCAAAAACGGCCATCAATGAGAGTTTCATGACTTTTTCATGAGTATAAAAAAACTTCTCATGGGAGCTTTAAATGCTCTTATCAACTTTTTAACCAAAACTCAGCGAAAACTCATCAAAACATCATACACAGGTGTTAAGCAGTTATACTTATAGCCAATCAGAAAGTGATGTGGGCGGGACATTAGGAGAGACGATTGATAACTTGGTTAGCAAATTGTTGCACAATGCCTTTCATATTTGTTGTTTTAAGAGGGCCAGTTGTAACATGTAAATTATTCGTTTTTGCACACTAGTCTGAACCAAACATGGCTAATTTATTCACTGCCTAAGAAGATAAGTTTTATTTTAGGTTAATTTCAGTTTGAAGTTAATCTTAAACTAGTTCTAATAGTGCTAATAGACTGGTAAGATATTCTTATAGGTCATTCCCAAAAAAAGTCTGTAAATAATCAGCTGACACGTGGCCAAATATTCGCTGAAGCTGATCATACTCTTGGATTTTACAGGGAATAAAAAATAAAATAAAATAAAAAAAATAAACAACAACCTTAAAATGCATTTCAGGTGAATTCTTTCTGTAAATCTGAGCCAGTTGGTGGACTGTCTCACATAGGTTGGATCATTTGTCCTCAGTTAAGTTAAAGCACAACAGAGTCACAGGTAAAGAAGGAAAGAAGGTGTTGCAGCACTGACACCACAAAGAAGGCCAGCAGTTAGCTGTGGCAGTAGGGGGCACTGTATGGCTTTAAAAAATTGTCAAATTTCTGAGACACTGCTCCTTCTCCTCCTTCCACTATTTTCTTTTCAGGAGATGGTGCAAACAAACCTTTTCACAAATTAAGTCGCATAGTTTTCTCTGCAGGCTGAAGGATGTACATCTAACTAAAGAGCACAGACATCCCCTGCGTAACACAGACAGAGTATGCATGCAGAGAGCATGCATGTGTGAGTGTGAGTGTGTGTGTGTGAGAGAGAGAGAGTGTGTGTGCTGCTACTGTCTGACAGTTAATTGTACTTCCACCCAAACACTGGCTGTTCAAGACAACTGGATTTCTAACTTCAAAGCCAAGCATATCACTTTGAAGGGCTGTGAATGAGTTCCAACCACCCTCCTCTACCCGTGCTCTGACCTCTATTCAAACAGCCCCAACCCCACAAACACACACACACACACTCTTTCCAAAAACAGGCCATTTCCCGTTAGCTTATTAGAGCTTTAATTGACAACTCCTGCCCTTCAAAGCACAGAGTCAGTGGTTGAATTGCTAACGAGCAACTGAATAAATACTCAGCACATGTTTTTGATGAGCGGGGACTTGAGAGTGACAACGTGACGAGTGCAGTTGTAGCAAGCGCGAAGAAACTTTTCTCCTACTAGCACAGATTGTGTTTGTTTATTCAGATCTCCGCTTTCTGGCAACCAGGTGACATTTCTTCCCTATAAAAATATAACACAAGCTGCATGACAAAACTGTCACACATACTCGACAACACCCGTCTCCGCGCTGACTGAGTGACATTATCTTGGCTGGAGCCCATAAGGACTTGACATTCCACTGTATTTGCTTCTTTTGAGATGGTGTCATTCCTCACAAAGGTTTTTGGTAAATGAGGGTGACAAATTGTTTTCAACCATCTTATTGTGTGCGAGTGGATGACTAACCATTAGCCGGAATGGATCCTACTTGGCTCAACAGATCTCACCACGTACGATGGTGATGCAACACTGACATTTCAGTAAGCAGTAATTACTGCGGATCATCTGCACATTTGGAGTGTTTGAAACATGAGCCTGCCTCACCATGGGATGGTCACACCTATATTATCTGTCAGTGACTGCAGCAGTGATTTACAGTCTGAGAAGGATTAACCTCCAGTAATGAACCACTTCAAACCTCTTACAGCCTTTCTACATTACTGCTACTTCCAGTTTCATGACTTTATGCCATAGCTGTCATTAAAGAGCAAAAAGCCACTCCTAGACCATTCAAAGACTAATGTGTCTTGATTTATGGAGTAACATGACAGAAATTTACTTTAAAAAATCTTTACATAATTTTAAACACAATGTCAATCTCTCTGTATGCTTTTATTTTGAAGTACACTACATCTGGTAGTTTACAAGTTTTTGAAACTGAATGAAAAAGTTCAAAAATGGCAAAACGGTTAGTTGATGAGTTACCAGAAGAGGCACAAGCTTTGATGTTGTTTTTTGAGTCAGTAAATCTCTGAATATCACTTTTTAAAAGCACTTAATCATCACTTAGAGGACCGCTAAAGCTAGCTAGCTAGCAGCTGCTGCTCTTTCTTAGTCTGTCCTCTGTTTTATGACGTCTATCCTCTCCCTGCTCTTGCTCTATCAATTGTCCTGTATCAATCAAGTCCAGAAAGCCTAGATATAAACCTATAAAGCTCCTCTGGTTTGCGTCAAGTTCTGATACCCCACATGTGGACAAGCAGCCTTGTCCTTGTCCTCTCAATGCTTAATTATCTCATCCTGCTAATTTTTTAAAGTCAAGTGTTTATTGTGAATATTTTGTTTGAAATTGTAAAAAGAAGGCTGTTTCTTCAGCTGCTCAGCTGCCACCTACCCCCTCACACCAGTTTTAGGCACTAAAAGTCAGGATATAATGATGGTCAACCTTATTGCTGGCTGATTTAATTTTTAACTTTTTATAAAAGTGCTGGAATGGATAAGCAACTTATACTGACACGTATCTGTACCTTAATTTTGTACTTTTGTAAATAGGATTGATGAATTCAACGACCTGTGTTTGTCAGTGTTGAGACAAAAGGCAGGTGTATATCCCTTTTCAGACTAAATCTACAGTAATATTCTGACACTGTGTGATCATTTGTTGCCAATTTTTTCAGGGCAGCTTTCTGAGAACTTTATGAAACTATGTGGTCAGCATGTCTACGTCAAACATCTCTGCCCAAAGAGGAAACAGACTAACCCATTTCACCAAGAGTCATATGGTTTTCATAAGTTTTTCCAGAACTTTTCTCTGTTTGTGACCTTATTAAAAATAACAGAGCTAGAGACCGGTGACCCCCATATAATCCCTCGCTTACAGCCTCATGTAAACATTAACAGCCATGATGCAAAAAAGGCTATTAGCAAGCAATGTGAGTTATACTCGAGTGGACATTCAGTCTCATACTGACTTAGACCCTAAAATACTTAACTAAAAATAAGAATAAAAAAATAAACAAAATAAACATATAAAACTGGCAGATAATAGTATGAGTTGAAAAGAAAAGTTAATGTCTTGAAGTGCACAACGCGGACAGTCAGGATTTTTTTGCAATGCAAAGGTTAGGTTGATGTTTTCATCTAACATAAGAAATGCAGACAGAAATATGTATGAGAATACACAGAATGGCAAGTTTAATTACAAATCAAGATTTCTATGTCTCTTTAACAAAGGAGAACTTTAAATGAAATGAAATAAGTCACATGTCAACCTGAGGTTGTGATGGGATTCCCCCTGATTTCAAACTTACTCACAGATAGTTTTTTTTCTTTTTTTTTTCATCTCTAAATCTGCTCTTATTAAATTGGAGGTATTTAGGCTTCAACAGACTGGATTAACATAGTGTAAAAACAAAGTAATTACACCCAGGCCTTTATCTAACAGGTAAGATACTTCCATGCTGACTGAAGAAGTTTCACACAAACAATGACACTGTAATGTTTCTTCTTTTCCAATCATAATAATACAGACATGGATACAATTAAACATAATTTATCTTATTAGACTGAAATCCTTGTGTAGCAAACTGCAAAAATTATACTGTCCTTTAACTAATGATCTAAAACCTGCTCTTTGAGGAATCACTGTCAGACTGGGGCTGTACTTTCTAACATCTTGGTCTTGTACTGGAAGCACTGTAACAGCAGCAGCCTTATCTAAGTATAGACCACTTCCTCTATTCTTGAGTAGACAGAACTCTGCAGCCCATTTCAAGCCATGACGGAAAACACCCACAAGCCCTCATGCCAATATTTTCCAGCAGCTTGCATGTCAAAATAAAACCCCTATGGAAAACAGTGGTTGTGCTAGTTAATAAAAATAATAGGAAACAGTGTGTAAAGCAGGGTATAAATATGTGCTTAAAGAGGCTTAATCTAAGGCTGTAAAAGGTTAGTATCTTCACAGGTAAAGAAGAACATACAGTATAGATCCGCTAAATACAAACAAAATGATCTTTTACTGTGTTGCACAGTTTTCTACATGGACTGTTATTCAAACTGATGGATTATTGTGATACACCAAAGCAAACCACATCGTTTGGGACAATTTTCCAGTCTTTATATTGAAATTTTGATGCCTACAAGAGATACTGAGGGGGTAGGTGTCAGGCAAACATCTCTTAATTTTTCAATGAATAAAACATTTCACTGTTCAAAGCCAGCAAGATGAGAACTCTGGTATAAGGACATGAGCAAAGACTGTTTTGTCCACAGGGGGCGCCAAAACTGAAAGTAGTTTTAAAGGATGTGATGGTTCTAAATTGACCCAAAAAATTAAATCTAAGCAGAAGAAGACATTAACAAAGTTATTAGACTTAAGAACACCGGGGCAGTTGTAATATACAGGAATTGACAATATCCACCTTTAAAGAAATGAAATGTTGACATGGGGCTCTATTTTCGTGTCCACCGGGGACACGGTGGAGGGTGGCGGACCCCGCACAGTAGTATTTTTGTCTGGCGGAGCCCAGTGTACAGCCAGTTTGGTATTTTCGTAGACTGAGGCGCACCGAGGTCCGCCAAGCTGGGCGTGGTGGCGTGGCAGGGGGAGGTATCGGGAGAATCAGCTGGCGCAGTGACATTTTCGTGTAAAGTGCGCTGAAAGCTCGTCAATTCAAACCTGGTCAGCTTTCAGCGCAGGCGGAGCGCAGCTGGTCTAGTGGTGTTTAGGTAGACCGGCGGAGTATCAGCATAAGTCACTAATGCCTCACTGGCAGGTTTCCACAGTGTCAGGCACATTTCAGTGCAATAAATAATCATCAACAACTAATAATCTGAGTCAGCACATACATTTAGATCTTTTTAGATATATTTAGATCTATATCAGAACTGATGAGCGCGTTTGGCACGCGTTTGGACACTTAACCTGACCGAATCAACACAGCTGAAACCGCATTAAATTAGATTAAATTAAATATCTAGTAAATAGACACACATGATGAAGTGAACAAGTTATGTAATTCATCTCCCTCCTTTTCTTTCTTCCTCTTCTTCTTATTTCTCGCGCAGCTGGACCTGGACATGTCTCCATGTCCTCTCCCTGTCCTGCTGCAGCTGCTGCTCCGGCGGCTGAACAGATGATTTGTTTCAGTGATCAGATGAGTTATTTAATTTAAGTCTACATACGAATATTATAATATTCCGTTTTGTGAGCCAAATTTATTTTATATGCCAACATCTATGCCATATATGTTGCCACCTGCCACCTCAGTCTACGAAAATACCAAACTGGCTGTACACCGGGCTCCGCCAGACGAAAATACCACTGCGCGGGGTCAGCCACCCTCCACCGCCTCACCGGCAGACACGAAAATAGAGCCCTGTGAGTTCATGGCAGCGGTCCTTCCCGCTGGTTGCCACATATCTGTGTCTGAGCCTCCGGCTGAAAGCTTTGGAAAGCTAATTGTTTAATTTTCAAGTTTCCCAAAAATATAGTATTGCTATCATTTCATCATTTCATGTCCACAATAATCATGAGGAAACACGTTACTTAAAGCGCCAGGGAGTAACTTTCTGTCTTTGTTGGTTTAGGTGCCACCGGTGGACTAAGGGGGAAACTCTCACATTTCATCTGCACATACAGTATGTAGGTGTTGTCTAACAATTGTGTACCTTTTTAACTGTGAAATGACTTTCTATGAACATTTGCTTTAGAAAAAAATAGAAACTAAGATGTTTCATCACATCAGCTGTGAGTCGTCAGGTCTGACACCTGCCCCCTCACAGAAGTTACAGTCATTAATGTTTCTAATAATAATCATCTGCACTGTCATTGATGGCTTTGTTTGCTTTTAAAGACTGATCATTGTTCATTTCAGTCTGCGAGATAACCAGCTGAAAACTCCTCAGAGTGGCTTTAACCCCAAATGTCATTTTTGTGACCACTGTATGAATGCTTTTGTCTCACTTGACTCTTTTTCAAAATAAACAAATGAATTTGCCCTGATGAAACCAATTAATACAATTGAAGATGAATTGTTTACACAAACTTATATGTGCTAGTAATAACTTAGCTGCTGGTTAAGCCTTTTTTGTTTTTTGCTCCTTTTTTGTTTCTGTTACTTTAGAGCTGCAAATCCGTAAATCTGTAGCATGTGAGTTGAAAAATGTCAGTGTTTTTCTAAATGAATATAATGAAGCAGATTGTACACTCATTTTTTATTAACTTTTACTTGGAAAAAATAAAAAGTACTATTTTTTAAAATAATTTGATTACTTAAATGTATTCAAAAGCAAATAGTTCACCACTTTTTTTATTCTATTATCTTTATTTACCTTTATTGAATTTCCCTTCGGGGATAAATAAAATTCTTCTTATCTTACTGTAATAAACTTTTTACGACTCTTAAATCCTCTTTTGTTTTAAAAGTATAAAAATACTATAATTTGAAACATACACAGGTTATTTAGCAAATTCAAACTACATTTTTGGACTACATAAAAAACATGTTTTTAAAAGCTAATATCCTGTCCTTAAAGCTCTATCAAGTAAAGTCACATGAATCTTCTTTACCTTGAGGTTTGAACATTTTGATTCACATTTTTTCAATAAACTTCCAAATATGATAAGATAAGAAGAATTTTATTAAAATTCAATATGGTCATGTACTTTTACTAAATATGCTGCTTACTTCCTGTCACCTACGGAAAGCCAGAATTACCATAGACTTTGCACCTAGCCTTCACAGACAATACAAATTCAATTTAAGGACATTTCAGGTAGATCACAAAGTCCCGACGTGACATGTTTTGAAAGAAAAGGTTAAGTTTAGGACGTGATTCACTTACCTCACCAAGTCAGTCATGCAGGAGCCAACCACCACGACATCTACAGCCTCTTCAGTCATTTTCTGTCAATGAAACACATGCTTTAATGGCAGTCTTCATGAGTCTTCATTGGAGTAACTTTTTCATGACACTTGTTTGGCCCGCTGAGCAAAACCTTTTCAAAAACACGGACAAAATCTGCAGCAAAGTGGACTCCTCTGGGGCACATCAGGCAAAATATGTAAACTAGTTTCCCAAGAGCATGCAAACAAAAAAATCACTTGATTTTATTTATCTCTCACATTAGCATGAGCCTGAGTGAAACAAGGAGGAAGGTAAAAATAGAGCATTCAATGCTGCCTGAGTTGGACAGGTTCCAGTCCTATTGGGGGTGGAGGAGGGGGGCTGTGGGGTATATCAATGCTACAAGACATGAATGTACCACAGCCCAGCAAAGTCTATAATTAATTCAATCCCCGGCTTGTATCAGAGCTAATGCTAGTGTGTTAATCTCCTCAAATCTCTGCCTAGGCAGGGGAAGATTTTGAAAGCCTGGCCGCTGGCTGCAGGATGGCTCAATTCTCTCTCCCACATCTTGCAGTATATTGTCTCCTCTCGGCAGGCATGAAAAGCTAACCTAGAACTCTCAACGTCTCTGCTGCAGGAGAATAATATGAGATCTGCATTGTCCTATCAAGGAAACCACTTAAAGATCTCCCCATCAAAGTTCACCCTCCTTTGTTTAAAACAGGGCTAGATTCCCACCCAGTACCTGACCCTCCTGCAAAAGAGTTTCATCATTGCAGGTAAACTATAACTTCACTCAAGGTTCTCCCCAGCCTGCAGGAAAAACAGTTCATATGCATAATGAATGAATTTAGAGATGATTTAGGATTTGACACACACATCTTTAAGACTAGAACTAAGCATGCTCTCAAAAGACTGCTTTGAAACGACTGAGTCTGAATGCAAATCAAATATGCATACAGCAGGTTCAACAATTTAAACTGAGCCATGAGCAAAATCCAGAGGGAGCTGGGGTTAGAGATGTTCTCAAAAGCTTGTAAATTAGATATTTTGTCTCAGTCAGGTCAGGTAGTGAAGAGTTTGCTGGGTAATGGTTGTCAATACAATAGTTGTAGAGGTTTGGACAACGACTATAATCATCGAAACACTGAATTTACTAAACTTTAGTCACACGTTATTGTAAATGTCTCTTTGTGATTGTCAGTATTATATTCTGAATCATTCAATTACACTTGCTGCACTCACTAAACAATCTCATGTCATAAAGTGTGTGTAATGAGTTGATATTAGACTGTAAAGGATGAGAACATGTCCATGATGTTGTCATCTGTTGTAGCACTATGCTTATGCATGGATACATGTTGATGTGGTAATCAATGCAGTGCACCAATTAGACCACAGGCTGCACGAAAGGCACGTCTGCCACATCAAGTGACTTTAAGCTGCACATGTTGAGCATGAAAATATTAGGCCAACATTTCAAAAGTTTTCCTGTGAGTTCTGATTGTCTTGGGGTGAACGGTGACATTATAGTCTGATATTCTTTTAAAAACCGTGACTTTAAAATGAGAAATAAGTTTGTTTATACAGGTCAGTAACTTGCGAAACAGTCTGAAAATTAACATGAAAAAGATCATTGATGAAACTGAGATTGTTGTTGTGACACCATGATAACATATTTTGCCATATTTTCCACACCTAGCTAAACAATATAGCTGAATTGGTCATTGGGATCCTGGTGGTTACTTTATTTTTCTGACAAGTGGTATTCCCCGGTTGTCTGAGTCTGTGAATACTGTTGCTGCACACACTTATATCATTTGGATGCCATTATGTCATCTTGTCATTTTGGATTTCCAAGGCAGACTTCTTATTTTCAATAAACATACACATTTTCTATGGGGTGTTTCTTTTCCAATTTAAAGCCATAAATACAGGAATCTACACCAAGTCTATAATTTTTCTAGCCATATTTCATCTTAATTTGAAGGACTAATGTAACCTATATTTAAAGGTCAATATAATGAGAGTGCAATAAGGTTTATTTTTGGGGTGCATCAATCTTACTCAGTATAAACAAAGGACAAAGACATGTAATAATACCTACACAGCCTCATGCTAAATCTATTTGAGAATGCATTTTTATAGACTTTGTAAACCGTTTTGAAGTAGCCTCATCATAAACTGGAGAACTTACTTGCTGTATGCACTCAAATGATTACTACAGTACAACGTTGTTGGCTTTCGTATCAGTACTATCCAAATCTTCATACTGGTAATACTTCTCCATAGTTGTCACATACACTTCAGAATATCATAAAATGCGCATAATAATCTAACTTTGATGAAGCTTCGTGTTCAAACTGTGTTAATGTGGAAGTGTACGAGTTATCTTCTGGATAAGCCCGCAAAACACTGAAAACACATCTGAGTTACAATGCAACAAGTCTTCAGGTTAAAAACGGAGAAAAACCGACATTATTGTGGGAAAATTTGTTGCAACGATTACCTTGCAATTCGTCTCTGCAGGGTGGACAGCAACACACAAGTGACGGCCAAAGTGCACAGTGACAGCTGTCTAACGCTACCGCCGCTGCCTTACACATTTATGTCACAGAAACAACACAGACATGTTTAATATTACTCTAACTTGACCAAACAGAGATTTTTGATACATAAAATATATTTTTGAAAGATCTATCACGGATAAAAATGGTTCTACGAGTGGAGACTTTATTTAATTTGAACAGGCTTTATAAAAGACGACTAAACGCAGGGCCTTCAAAGGACCCAAACAACATGTACCGGATAGTGTGAGATCATGAAGTAAACATTGGAGTAAAGGCTGAAATCATCTGTTTTCACGCTGATTCAGGTGCTTAAATTCACATCACATGCTGTTTTAAGATAACACTTTTATCAGGCTGCTCTTTGAAGAACGGTATTGTTTTGAATTTGTTAATATGACCCTTCATATCGGGCTAAGCTAACGTTGGCTAACCAAGCAAAGTTTACGGATATACTTCTCAATTCAGTTACTGGAACTATTTCTGCCGCAGTGAACGATTTTGGCTTAAAACGATGACCGTGAATGTATGTTACTTCATTATTCTCCCGTATAGCGTGGTCAGTCTACGGCCACAGTCAAAGTAAAAAAAAAAAAAACAACGCTATAATTTATTTCCCTTTGACTTTTCTTGGTACTTTTTACAGTATTATTGTCAAGATGTAGTATAATCTTCAGAGTTGCGCAAGAAAGTTAAAACGTAGAAACAGAGAATTGAATCTAACATGCATAACAAGATTCCAAGACATCAGGACATTATATTTAAAAAAGAGATGAATGAACAATCTGTTAGGGATACACAAGAAAACAGAAATTTATCGATATCGCGATTCATCATAAAGAACATTGATCTATCACAATAGATTAGGCAACCATTGTTTTATCATTCAGCATACAGATTGGCTTCCTATTTGAGCTAACATGCATTCTTTAATATTTGTTTGTGTACCAAGAATATGTCACAAAGTTGTCATATTTTTGATTTTTTTAAATACTGTGCTGGTATTGCATCCAATTCACTAACAATAGGAGTAAACCATACGGTTAAATTGAAAGACAGGTTTTGTTTTGTTTGAGGAAAATAGCTGAAACTGTTCCTATTCTGATTATGTACACAAACACACCACTGTTATGCAGTGTCATGTCCTATATTTTTTCATACCCCAAAATATACTGCCAACAATATCTAAGTTTTTTTCTCTGCAAAAACATAATTAAAAAAAATAAAGGTTAAGCATGGCATGGTTATTACCTGTTGCTTTACTTCCACAGACTACTGTGAGTTGATACAATGAACAACATGTCCCCTGAGGTCGCTCTGCACAGGATCTCACCTGAGTTGCGGCCCTTGCTGTGCAGCGTTGTGCGAAATGGACGAGTTGGACTTGACTCCACCAACTGTCTCCGTGTCACAGACCTCAAAACTGGGTGAGGAGGCATTACAGAGATGTTAATTTTTTTGTCTCATTAGGACTGTCAGGTTTGTCCTGCACAGCAAAGAGGTTGGATACATGAGTATTGAGGAAAAATGAAAACTACAAGGGAAACCCTGAAAAAATTAAAGCTCCTGTGAGAAACTTGTTTTGTAGAATTGCGATACAATTATAAAAGATTGAATAGTAAAACTATAGGCATTTCATTTAATCAGTTTCAATTTCAAGACTTCCTGCTGCTTTGGAGCTCTGTTTCATGTATTCATTTTGCATTCAAAGCCCAACTCTTTCTGCTCCGCCATTTTTTGTCACTTGCACATTCATGTTTATTTCCCTCCCAACTCAGTCTCTTACGAAGTATTTGCTGCATGTATTCCCTCTAAATTCATCAGCTTACTGTTCTAACTCTTTCTGATTGTTGTCTTTTGTTGTTTACATTTGTCTCCATATTCAGATGTACTTCTCTGACTCCTGGACCCTGCTGTGATCGCTTTAAACTTCACATCCCGTATGCTGGAGAAACCCTGAAATGTGAGTACAGAAGTGACACCCCTTTTTAATCATTTTTTATGATATGTGTTTACTTTCTGCTGCTTCTGGTTTGTCAATATTCACTGACAGGTGGTTATTATTGGCTTTTAAGCGAGAAATCTCCCATAGCTGTGCAAGGACACAAGTTGAGAAGATAAAGAATAAGAGTTCAGCTGAGGTTTTCCACAGTCTTCCAAGCGTGGTCCCAGTTTTGATGTATAAGGGTTCTTAATGACTAACTGCAGTACTGCTGCAAAGGGATATTTAAGTGTTCGTTTATTTGACACCTTAAATATCAGTCTTGGCCTGCGTGTAAATCGAAAGCACTTAAAGTGGATGTACTTCTATAGGACACATTTTTAACCTGCTGTGCTTGTGTCAAAAGTGAAGTGTGTAGAAACAGAAATACTTAGCTGTATGTAGTGGTCAGGGTCTGAATCAAACACTCCTTTGTTCACCACGCTGTCAGTGAAGTGACGGCAAGTGACATTTATCAAGTTTTTACCATCAAAAACTCCTATCATATGCACAACAACAACCTCATCTTCCGAGTGTTGTGCTTCGCTCAGCCTTTAAAATACTAAAACAAAGTTACAAGTTACAAACATAGTGGTGCATGACGGCAGCCCCTGAGAAAGAAAAAGAGACATGCTACTACAAACCTCAACTCCGGTGAAGCTGGGATGTTGTGTAAAATGTTAATAAGAAAGGACACAATGATTTGCAAATCCTTTTCCACCTCTAATCAATTCAATACTCTACAAAGACAAGATTTAAATGTTCAAACTGATAAACTTGATTGTTTTATGCAAATATTCACTTATTCAGCCATGGGCCAAATTATTGGCATTTTAAAATAACCTGCATCACATTATTATCTGCGCTCAAAAAAAGAACTTTATTGATCCCCAAAGAGAAATTCAATAGATTTTAAAATTTCAATAAAATTCAACAAATAAATTCAAAAGTCAGATCTCACCGCCATCTTTTGAAAATGATAACTGATGATAACTTAATGACAGCATCTTCAATCTTCTATAGTCACTGGCTGATTTGCTGTCTCATAATCAGCAGTGGCCAAAACTTATATCAGTCAACTATGAGTTTCACCAGCTAATTGACCTCTTTGACCTCTAACTTGTCTAATAGTCAGCACCTTATAGGAGAGGGCTGACTTTGACGGGGCTAAAGGCGTATTTTAGTCTAAAACAGCCATATTTTTATTTTTCATTTTTCCAGTTGATAAAATGTGATGTTAAAAATAAGAGGTGGCTACAAGCTTGTAATGTAAACACCACCCCTCCCAACCTGTTTTCCCCTCAGCTCCTCCTCTCCCCTCCCTCTCTGCTCCAGCAAGCCCCGCCCACAAACAGATACTCCTGCTCGCTCGTATTGTTTCAATTAAATTCAGATATAATGCGAATAAATACTTAAGATAATTACAAATGGGGCCCAGTCAACGTGAAAGTAAAAAGCATTGGTGCTACTGTAGATGCCAACAGACTTCTATTAAACACAATGTTTGCAGGACTTCTACAACTAGGATAAAGTGACATACTCCAGGACCCGAGGTAAACTGTTCAGTGGCGCTACACGCAGCAGGTCCTGTTGGACAAGAAAAATTTCTGTTACAGACACTTGGCTTACTTTTTAAAATCTGTTTATCTGTCCAGCAAAAAGGTTACAGGGTCGGTAAGATCCCAAAGCACCCCCAACCATTAATGCTGGCTTCATTGACGTTGACCTGGCTTTTCAGCTCTTGTTCGGGTGGTCTACCTCCTTTTTAAGTGCCTGTTATTCCACCAGTCTCCAGTATTTGTTTTTTTTTTCTTGCTTGTGGCGGCAGTCGTGGCCAAAGAAGGATTCCGAAAATTTTCTGTACTTTCTGGTTGTTTTCTACTGCCCTATATTGTAGCACGCTAACTTTGTTTGGGCTCGTGAACGTTATTCGAGGACGTGGAGCGTGCCTCACAATACAAGGAAACAGTGTCTGCCTCACAACCAGTCAGGTCAGGGAGGGGGAGTACAGCTTTGTTTACAAACAGAAAGAGCGGGCCGCTCAAAAATTTAAAAATGTTGACTACACAGGCATAAGAGAAAACAGCAATATTGTTATATTCCCAAATGTCATCAATAACTAATAAGCTACTGACTGATATTAAAAGCTGTTTTGTAAATACACCACAAAAAAGATACTTCTTTAACGGAATCCTACCCCACTTTTAAGCCATCAGTACCAGTGAATTTGTGAAATAAATATAATATTCTATAGAATAAGTATTTAATGTGAAACACTTCCCTTTTATGGACACATCTCAGGACGCAGTAAGGAGAGGATCATGCATTACAGGAGCTTTTTGTCTTTAAAGGCAACCATTGCCTCTGCAGCCTCACCAGGAGGAGGGGTGAGCAAGGGGGCGTTTAAGTCGAGAATGTGGCCACCATATACTGCTAAGTATTTCCATTACTACACACTATACCTTTAAGCATAACAATGTTTTTACATTGCAGCTACTCAGGAGGTAGTGAGGTCAAAAACACCCACAGGTATTCCTCAAGTACAAAAACAACATGAGTGTTATTCTAGTGATCCTCAGTGACTGAAATGATACCAGTAAACATGCTGCACTTTGTGCCACTGAACTTTTACTGGAAGGCTTCTTACTGCTGAATGAATTCCTCCACATCAGACACTATCTCCTCTCAGTGTGACGCCCAGAGAGCACAATTGGAAACATCACTGTGTTGTTATGTGATAATAATCGTGGTTTAAATCAAATTCAACTCTTACTGGAAATGTGGTGACTCACAAGGCACATATCAGGCCTGTGTTTACACACGTCCTTAGAGGTGTGCTGTCAGTTACCATCTCTCAGGTTTAAATGAGCGTGGAGTAAAGTCATCTTCTCCGGAGAAAGTGGTTTTAACAGTTCACTGGAAATGACTCTGTTTGGGGTCTATAACCTGGCATCTTACAGGAAGCATCATGAATGAATTAGATGAACTTTTCCAGCAGATGAGCAGATGAGAGTTGTTTCTCACCGTTAACC